TTCACATCTCAAACATTTATGTAAATCATTGAGGTGTATTATTACCAAAGAAACAAAAAATGCTTTGAGCTGAACAGATGCAGTTGCATAGAATTCCCCACAGAATTCCCCTTCTTACTTCTGGCTGCTTTATTGAAGTTCCCTTTGGTCCTTCCCCTCCATGTCTGGCTGCTTTTATATCTGTGATGCTTTCGTCAATCAATGACTCTATTTACAATTATTCAAGAATTGGCAAAATGATGCTTTTATAAGAATTTTGTTTCACTTAAAAAAAAGCAAGACATCCTGAATGTTTGTAAATCAATTCTGAGCAGCACTTTGTAGTCTGTGCAGGCAAATGTGCAAAAAAATTCTGGAACAGGAACACGGCAATTAAGTAGTTTGTTGCACATAAATGTTGGCTTGCCAATCTAACAAGAATTAACTGTAATCATGTCTGACCTCCACTTGAATTGACTGCAATCACTTCTGACTGTAGTCTGCAGTTTAAAGAGTGAAAGTTAGGCCATTGAATACAGTGTGTGTGTGTGTGTATATGTGTGCGTTGTAGGGCCATCTGCACTCCCATTGTGACCGTCCTTGTCTACTGGAATCAGTGTTCGATTTTGAATTCCTGCGATCATTGACACAAGGGTATCAAGCACAGGAGGGTAGAAGTTGGTGTGTGCAGCCACACTGTGAATGTGCAAGTTGGCTCCATTTCCATCCTCTGCAGAGTAAAAGAGTTCTGCCATTCACACAGAAGCGAGCTATAACAATGAGGTCATGCATTACAGGAACTGCTGAGAGATTAGATTGTTGCAGCCTATTTTTTTTTTGTCCACTGCTTCTTCCTGTACAGCTGACAAATAACCCATTCTTCAGCAGGATAGCCTTACATCCCAACCTGATTACATCTCAAAAGTGTCTGGTGTCAAAGCTGTCATAATCAAGGCTTGATTATGGAAACTCCCTCCTCATCAGCATTCCCAACTCTTCCCTTTATAAGCTGCAGATCATCCAAAACTCTGCAGCTCGTGTACTCTCGCGTACCAGGCTCCATGACCCTATCACTCCCACCCTCGCCCGACTCCACTGGCTCCCCATCCTTCAGAGGATCGAATTGAAGATCCTCTTCCTCACTTTCAAGGCCATCCATGGCCTTGCCCCCTCCTACCTCTCTGAGCTGCTGACTCCCTACCAACCTGCCCGCTCCCTCCGTTCAGCAGGCTCTGGCCTGCTCCATGTCTCCCGCCCGACCCGCCCTACCATCGATGGCTGGGCTTTCAGCCTCTCTGCCCCCACACTCTGGAACTCCATCCCACGGTCCCTTCGCCTCGCTTCCTCCCTTGCCTCCTTCAAGGCCAGTCTCAAGACCCTCCTCTTCGATCGTGCCTTTGGTTGCCCTCCCACCTCTCTGCCTTCCCTCACCCCTACACCACCCCACCATGCTCGGGACCTGATCCCTGACTATCCAGTGCCTTGGGACGACCTCCCGACATGAAAGGCATTCTATAAATGTAATTTTGTTGTTGTGTGCCAATCTGGTTCTGTCAATTGCCGCAAGTCATGTTTTGCCTCAGTTTCGCAGACTTCTACTTTGGTGGACGGTGTGTGAACACGTTGACCTCACTCTACATGAAGGATTCATTTGATATGATACAACCCAAAATTTATCACAATAGCATTACGTTGAATGTGTTGATGTTCAATTGAAACGTTGACTGGTCAAAATCTCTGTTGCCTTTTGATTCAGCGTAAAGCTTCACTTCAACAGAAGTTGACCAATCGACAAAATCTCAGATGCATTTTGTGCTGAGAGCTACTAACATTATTCTCCTGATAATGTCCTCCAGTTAGCTTGGTTGGATTCGTACAGAAGTTCACAAACCTGCTGCTGCCCAGACGTTTAAACTGAGGACTGGGGCAGAGCAGCGACACTGGGGTAACACCCCTCTCTATCTATGACCAAGGCTCCCTTTGCCTCCTTGTCCTCCTGGACCTCTCCGCTGCATTCGACACAGTCGATCACGCCATCCTCCTCCACCGCCTTTCCTCCGTCATCCACCTTAGTGGGACTGCACTCAGCTGGTTCGAGCCTTACCTTACAAACTGCCAGCAGTACATCTGTACAAACGGCTTCTCCTCCCGCACCCACCCGGTTACCTGCGGGCTACCCCAAGGGTCAATCCTTGGCCCCCTCCTCTTTCTGATCTACATGCTCCCTCTTGGGGATGTCATCCGCAGACATGTGGTACACTTCCACGTGTATGCAGACGACACCCAACTCTATTTTTCCACCTCTCTTTGCATCCCCAGTCCCCTGATGTTCTGTCAGCTGCTTGTCAGATCTCAGGGGCTGGATGAGCACAAATTTCCTTCAGCTGGCTCTTGTCAAAGTCTAAAATCTCATGGCTCTCACCTCCTCCACCTATCTGACCTCCCCCTAAAACTTTCCGAACCCGTACGGGACCTCGGCTCGACCCCCAATTATCCTTCCTCCCCCACATCCGGTCCCTCACCAGCACCGCTTTCTTCTACCTCTGACACATCGCCTGTCTCCGCCAATATCTCGCCCCAAAAGCCGCTGAAACCCTGGTCCATGCCTTTGTCACCTCTCGGCTGGACTACTCTAGCGCCCTCCTCACCAGCCTCCCCTCCACTACCATTCATAAAATCCAAATCATTCAAAACTCTGCCGCCCGCATTCTCACCCACACGAAACTCCACTCCCCGATCACCCCAGTCCTTGCCAGACTGCACTGGCTGCCTATTCCAGAGAGGATCGACTTCAAGATCTTCACCCTTGTATTCAAGTCCCTGCACTCCTCTGCACCCCCCTACCTCTCTCCTCAAAACAGTACCTGTTGTCTTCGTTCCTCCGGGTCTGGCCTCCTCCTCGTCCCCCGCTCCACCCTCGGTGGCCGTGGCTTCAGGCTCTGGAACTCCCTTCCTCACTCCCTTCGCCTCGCTCCCTCCCTTCCTATTTTCAGGTCTCTGCTGAAGACCTTTCTTTTCGACCGCGCCTTTGGTCTCCTTCCTCCCCCTCCCCTGGCTTGGTCCCGGGTCCGTTACTGTGAAGCGCTCTGAGACGCCGTCCGGCGTGGAGGGCGCTTTATAAATCCTTGTTGTTGTTAAACTGAGGACTGGGGCAGAGCAACATGCAGTACGTACTGTCTCTTTTGAAAGGATATGTAGGTCTTGTGGCTCACACCATTTGGGCTGAGAATTGGGCAAAATTTCCTAGGTTTCAACCAGTTCTTGATCTGCGTGCAGGGTGATATGTAAACGCTGCCTGGGCTGCACTGTCTCATCCCACCCAGTGGGGGACAATTACTTTTCAGTAACCAGGAGGTGAATAAGCACCCATTTCTCTTCCTAATGAATTCCTCTTGCCAGCTCTGAAACTACAGCTGAGACCTGTAACATGAGTACGTGGGGTGAAGTCACAGCATGCCTCAGCGCATAAAATATGCAAACTGATTATTTTATCTGGAAGATTTCAGGAGTTTGTGAATTACTAATACGATCCTTTTGAAGTTCTGGTTCTTCAAAATTTGCATTTCATAATTGGGAAACTTATTTGACCGAGATGGGGGGAGTGGGTGGATTGGTGCAGCAAGAACAGATATTGCTACAGAATGTTGGGGGCACCTTTGATTTCAGTTGCCACTGCAGGACGCAAAATAATATCCCCAATGTTTGCCATAGGGAAGGCATTGCCTACTGTTGCGCACACTTTTGGAAGACAGGTCCACACCACTGTTAGTAGAGGACTGGGAGCAAATCTCCCACTGTACTATAAAACAAGAAGAAATGTTGCACAATCTAGCAAGTAGATGTAACCTGCACCCGGAAATCTTGTGAAACTCAGACAAGATAGTGCCTGCGAAATGTAAACAGCTGTGGCATGTAAACTAGGTGCACTAATGTACTGCAAGACATTTTGTGGCTACGTTTGCGTGTAAAATTTCCCAATTAATGAACTAAGGATGCCTTTATAACTCCCATTGTGACGATGGACTCGTTAAAGCTTCAGCACAAGCATCTGTTTCTTCGGGAATGGTTTTAAGGAGTTGCTTTTGTTGTACCTACAACTAAAGCGTATTGCGTCCATTGTTGTTTGGTGTCGGCGTATTTGTCTTACAAGATGTTCGTTCTTCACAAATGAATCTGCAGCCCGCACTCTTTCCTTGAACCTCCCTCAAGGCTGGACCTTTTTCCCTTTGTAGCTGGTTTCTGTAGCCATTCCATTTGTCTTTGTAAAGGCTTTATAGCTGATGTTATCAAATGCCTTCTAAAAAACCCAAGAACACTGTATTGTCCACTAATTTAGTTACTCCCTGAAAGAATACTACTGAATTTGTGAGTGTGATGTATTGCCTATTCTTTATAGCCTGAGGGCTCGTTAATGATTATTGATGGTCTCTCAAAATGCCCTTGAGTGACTTTGTTTATTACTGTGGGTTTGAATTCCTGACTTTGTGTTTTGCTTCTTTATACAAATGCTGCACAATCAATCCTTTGGACTCAGTTTAGCCCATATATTCATCCAGGTTTTTTTAAAAAAAGAACACAGACTAATTTTATAGTTTATTTCTTTCAGGGTTCTGGAATGGAGCCCATTTGCTCCAGGTGTTTGCCTGGATCTGGAATTGGTTCAGGTTTTTGGGAGGGTTGATTGGTTAAACTCTTCACGTGTAGATTTTTGGCAAAAGAAACAGCAGACAATACAGTTCATTGTTTCATATAATTTTATGAACTGACTTGTTTGCTCCCAAGGTCACTCGGTTTAATTTCCTTGTACCTTTTAAAATTTAAAGTTATGCTTCGTTTATTGAGTCACTGATGACTTTTCTTGTTGGGGTTTACAATTCTGCTCTCAGTTTGGCCTTCAATTTCCATCTTCAGTCTTTTTTTAAAATCGTCACTTCCCTAGTTTCCTAATCGTACACTGGTCATTTTAGCCATTGTCGACACAAATGCTGTTTTGTGTAACCTTTTACTTCCTTCTCTTGCAGTTGTACTTATTGGTGATTCGGGTGTAGGAAAAAGTAATCTGTTGTCACGGTTTACACGCAACGAGTTTAACCTGGAAAGCAAGAGCACTATCGGAGTGGAATTTGCAACAAGAAGCATCCAGGTGGATGGAAAGACCATTAAAGCACAGATCTGGGACACTGCGGGTCAGGAGCGTTATCGAGCTATCACTTCGGCGTATGTTGTTATCTTTAAATTTCTCCGTTGAGGAGAATAAAGAAATTACTTGACAGTTTGTGTGAAATCCTGTTTCAAACCTTCGTTCTATTGTGACTAGGTATTACCGTGGGGCTGTTGGTGCCTTGCTGGTATACGATATTGCTAAGCACCTCACTTATGAAAATGTGGAGAGGTGGCTGAAGGAACTGAGAGACCATGCGGACAGCAACATTGTCATCATGCTGGTGGGGAACAAGAGCGACTTGCGTCATCTCCGAGCTGTGCCTACAGATGAGGCGAAAGCCTTTGCAGGTTTGTGTGTATAATCTCGTTAATAAATTGCTCCTATGTTCAAACAAATGTTATCAATGGCCCAAAGCATCCGTGAGCTTTTGGAATATCTTAAACCTGTTTGGAAACTTTCAATACTCTGAGGCGCCCCAATTTTTCAAGACAATGTTTATAAGAAGTGGATTGCTCTTAAATCTTGTCTGCTAAGCGGTTGGGTGATTCAACACAGAAGGAAGGGTAAGTCCAAATCCAGGCCAGTTCAGAGCCCTGGGAGAATCCTGGAAGATTACTGCCCTTGGCAGTTCTGCTGTCTGAGAGTTTGTGACTACCCTCTCTGGGCACGCTTAGAAGTTGGACTTCCCTTAGAAATTGGCTAATTATTAATCAGCATTTGTTTGTCAACTGACCAATCGTTTTGTCTGATGGCTAAACATCTATCATCGTTTTGTTGACAGAAAAGAATGGGTTGTCCTTCATCGAAACCTCAGCTTTAGATTCCACAAATGTAGAAACGGCTTTCCAGACCATCCTAACAGGTATGTAATCTTTTATAGTCCAGAGTTTGTAGCTGTTAAACTTTTAACAAAGTTCAATAACCTATTCTGGTTAATTTGAGTTTTTAAAAAAATGCTCTTTATGACTTTTGCAGTCAGAGTTTTATCTAGAGATGTTGCTATGTATGAATTTAAAACTAGGTTTGGTTTTCATGTATGGAATCTATGCAAATTTAATAGAACATCTGTTTTGCTGTACTTCTACACATTATCTCAGCTGAGAGGCAAGTGACTTGCTTTCAGGCCATGCTGATAAGTGTGTAGGGGTGATCCACGTTCCTTATTTTCTGTCTTCCTTTCTTGAGGAGCCAATGTGTCCCTTGGCTACAGAGTTTGCCAGCAATGCTTCCTCTTTATTTACAGCGCTCGGGTGAATGTTCCATTCAGAATTTCTAAACGAAACCTGCTGGATGACATCAGCCGAATGGCCTCGCTGAGTGCGATCGCTGACTGTAAAATACAGTCATTGGAATTTGTGTTGAGACGGCCAATGTTAATTATGTAAGAGTCTTCAGTCTCTTAGCCTTGGTAGATTCCTATCAGTGGTGAAAAATGTGCTAATCCAAATTACTGGAGACCAAGGACGGAACCTTGAAGTAATCATTGCTGATATTAATCTGCAGAGCTATATTCTCAGGTTGATTCTATGGCATTCTTAATCCTGATTGAATAGATGGGATGATGCTGTGCAGTTACCCTGGATTTAACCTCCTACTCGTAATTTTTTTTACCAAAATCCTTTATTTGTCAATTACCATTTTACAAGCAAGTCTGATTTTAACTGTGCCAAGATCTGTTTGCTTTGGTATGTTTGTTTAAAAAAACGAATTTGCTTGTCAGCAGCCATGTGTGGATTTAAATTGTATCTGTAATCCAATTACCATTCTCCTGGGGGGGCAGAGAACTGGGGCATGATCTTTACTGAGCGGCATTGTTCTATAACAGCTTTGTACGAGCTGACTCAACGGAGTGTGGCTCCTACTGCTGTTGGTGCTAGATAAGCATATCTCAGTGGAGCTGGCAAACTCTGAGACCAACTCAGCCTTCCTTTATTATTACTCTGAAGTGATGTTCAGTGACTGAATGGTACAGGAAGTGTGAGAGTGAGATTGCCTGATGGCACTGTGTCTACTGTATTGGGAGGCATCACATTAAATAATTTGTACAGACAATTCTTTGCTCTGCAGTTAGCTGGGTGACTTCATCCAAGATTGCCTCCTGTCTCTGTCTGGCATTAGTAATGAGAAGTAGAAGCTTAACAGTTGTTAGGAGCGTAGACCTCAATGGGAGCCAGCCACATTGCATCCCAACACCCAGAATATATAAACTACTCCCAGACTAATTTGTGCCGTAATTAAATTATCACCTTGTGGGAGGTAGAATTTGACAATATTCTTCAGCATTTTAAGTAGCTACATCCTTAGTGTACCATTTCCCCAATAGACGTATGACAACACAGTGCGTGGCCTCTGGTTCACATTGCTCAATCGCCTGTCAAAAGTTGACTGTTCAGATCTTTGTCTTTGAAGAGGGGAGAATCCCTTGGCTGTTACCCAGGGTGACTCTGTACCTCCTGCCTTCCAGCTGAACTGCTGCTCTAGAGGCAAGAAGGAGATTCTTTGTAAGCTGTGGAGTAATCCTACGGGATAAAATAGATAGAAACCTTCCCAATAAAACGTTGAAGAAGGTGCAGAGTAATGGATTGTTCTGCATGTTTTATTTTTATAATTGGTGTTTCAAACTACTAATGATTTACGATTACTTTCTATGTATTTTTTTTAAAAAAGAAATGATTTTCAGTTCAGTTTAACATCGTGATTTTACTCAGCAGAATTTAACTGGGCTCAGAGCCAAGACATTGTCAAATAATGAATCAAACTGTGACCTTGCTGGGCAAGCATGTAACTCTTAATGACTTCCTGAACACAGGGGAAAAATGCATTCACATATGTTTTGCTCAGGGTTCTACTGGCGAAAGTTTGTAAACGGGGCATTCTCTTCAGTGCTCCGTTGGAACAGTAAAGTTAATGCTTTGTTTTTGAATCTGATTTTTGGTTGTCACCCGTACAAGATACAATTCTAGTTGCTGAAAATAGCTCACCCTTCTGCAAATGTCCTCCTCGCTGCTTTTCTTTAATATCCCAGATGAACAATAAAAGCTTCAGAGGGTTTAAGACCGAGGGAATTGAGGAGTAGGGCATGATTTTGAGAAGCACTTGGATGTTTCTGTGGCTTTTCTCTTATCAGAAGTCTGGATTTAGAATTCAAGAAACACAATCGTTCAATCTTACTCCTTCAGCAGTCGTGAGACAGTGTTACTTCTGTTGATTGCATGAACAGGGTGATCATGGAAACCTATTCTGTTTGGTGTTACTGTGAAGGAGTTGATATTTCTGGTCTTTCAGTTTTGTCTTGTGCCTGAATTGGCTGTGTTGAGGCACAGCCTGATGGAAAGTATGAAATAAGGAAATCAGTTTTAACATGAATTTGGGGAAAGGTAAATTGTTGGCATTGTGGATAGACGGATTGCCTGTTAAGTGCAATTAGTGACTCACAATCTACCACGAGTGTACAATCATTCTAAAAACAATCTGTAAAATGTACTTGTCTTGTATTGTTATGGCTGCAATATTTAAATATTAAGGCTGCTGTACCTCCCTCCCAATAGTTGAGATTAAAAGGCTATTTTAGGTCCAATGTAATTCACGCCATTCCATTGAATCAAATGGAGATTTAAATAAATTAGCTACTTAAACCCAATCAAGTGGAAAATTGGAAGCAAAATGAAGCGTTCTGTAACAATGGGTTGTAACGTTTTTTTCTCTCCCCCTCTAGAAATCTATCGCATTGTGTCTCAGAAACAAATGTCAGACCGGCGTGAGAATGACATGTCTCCGAGCAACAATGTGGTGCCGATTCACGTGCCTCCGACCACTGAGAACAAACCAAAGATGCAGTGCTGTCAAAACATATGACGTGACGTTCCAATGGAAAAGGGCTCTCTCCATTCCCTGAGTCTCCATATATTTACTGTACCTGTGTAACGCTTGCTGTTTCCTGTTTTTGTAATTCAGAATTTGCTGATTAATGTGACCATTGTCTTAAAAACTTATGTTAAACTGTCTTTATATAAATGAAATGCAACACGTTAAATTAATGTCAGCTGTGAAGCATTTTTATATTGTATACACACACACACGGGCAGTGTAAAATGGTAAAACCATTTTGTAAATGAGGTCATCATGTAAAGTAATGCTATTTTTAAACGGTGTTAAGCAATAGGGCTCGATTGAATGCGATACCATGCATATCTTATTGTCTTAAATACATTGATATGAGAATCACAACTTCTTGCTCAGAGCAATAGCTGCTTGTTTGGGCTGAGCATGCTCATGAAGTGTGTGAAACACCGAGGGCACTGCTTTAACCAATGTCATCACTAATTCATTTGGATTTCTTTGTCGTGTTTCTCAGTATTCAATGTAATTGTAAATTTTACTCCTGTGTATTTATGCATGTACTCTGATTGTCTTCTTTTTTAATTTTCAGTTATGATTTAAAATATTATATTCAATATGTTTCAATCCTAATAAAAGGAAACAAAAGGGGACTGTTTGTTTTTATTCAAGTAAAGCAGTGTTTATGGATCTGGAACCTGCTGACAGAGATTTTTGAGCTTTACCTTGTCGACGGCTTAAGATCTTCCTCATATTCAGAATATCTTCTCAGAAGTTGGGGGTTAAACAGCATTATTAAATTGAAACAAAGAACTTTTAATCTGACTGTAGGCCATGCTCCACCTGGACATTAACACAAGTTGTAAAGAAAATGTACAAATCACCAGTCCCACCCCATTGCTTCACCTTGCCAACCACAAGCATTTACCAAAATAAAATCTTTTCAGAAAAAAATCAAAATACAATATTGCACATGAGCGAAAGTAATTTTTATTACTTTTCACGAAATGGCAACCGAGTAACTTTCTTACAAATTAGTTCTAAAAAATAAGCATTGACGTCGCCTACAGTAATGGGTTTGTCTATGCTGTTGCACTATTGCTGGGGGGCCTGTTGCATGTTCCTTTGTAGAGTACCATACATACGAGCTATTTTTGATTAAAAATGAAAAGAAAGCAACCTGATTACATACTGTATTTTGGAGCTCCTAACCAAGAAGCGTGTGGTACTATAGAATCAGGCTGACCCGAATGGCTGTTTCTCAGAGCCTGTTCCACATGCCATGTGAAATTTGCCCCATCACAAGTTCTGTCATTTCATATGCTATGGTATTACATAATTTCTGTGGCTCAAAGGTAAGCAGTCAAAACATCAGAATATATCAATCTCCACTAACAAACCCAGACTCACTGCCTTACTTGTCACAACAGCATATAGGGAGCGTCCTACTCTCATTATCCCTGTAATGGTTAATCAAATTCATAACTGGGTAGTTAGACAATTCTTATTTGAAATAATTGATGCTGTATTTGCTGTTTCTTTTGAGTGCCTTGTCCACGTATTACTCTGCAAAGGCATCTAACTCTTAAAATGCTTTAACTTAATCGCTGCTTAATATGTAGGAGTGCATAGAGAATTGTAATTAAAAAAAACTCATCAACAATTATCTGAAATCAATCTTAAAATTAAAATTAATTAATAGTACTGTTGTGACATGTTGCTAAACATTTTAAATATTGTAATAACCAAAGTACTGAATGGTTTTCAATGAAGAATTAAGTGAAGTCATTTTGCTGCATCACATCAGTGTAATTCTTCGAGTAACAAAAATAAAAATTACAAACGCTGGAAATCTGAAATGCAAGGAGAAACGTTTTGCCGAAGGACTGAATAACCGAAGTGTTGAGCTGTCTTTTTCTGATGCTGATTGATCTGTATTGCTGTGCGCTTCCTGTTTTTTTACTCCGTTTATTCTTACACTAATTGCTGCTGTTCTTAATCACAACTTAAGTATATATTTTTGGGTCAGGCCTAAAATATTACTTACCAATTTAGCCTGATGGTGATTTACTGTTCAGCTTTGTCAGGCTCCAAAACAAAGCACATTTCTCTCCATTTCTGGTCCTTCGCTGCTGCTTTTTGTGTCTGAAACTTGACCTGATGTCAAGCCTTTTCACTACCTGACTCACTAGTTTCTTGCCTGCATTTGTTTCTGTATTTTTTTAAAAAAACGTTCGATGAACGAAAAAGTAACTTGCTTTCACCTGAAGAAAAGCAAATCATTCTTGACAAGTGTTTCCATCTCCAGTCAAATTTAACAATAAGAGGCAAATGATTCCTATAATATCCTTTTAACACATGTCGCAGTTTATATACATCATAGCAATAATGTATCACGTATTCCATTGCTAGCGTAATTTGGTCAACATTTAACTTTGATGTTTTTGTTACCGTAAAACACACACACACACACACACACAGAATAATCAACAGTGAACTTATAAGGAAAACATTTATAAGTGGATACATAATACAATTTCCCGCAGTTTTAAGTGAAATCAACCCTTCAAAGCAATTCAAATCGCAGGCTCTCTGCTCTCCTATCCAACAAAAAGTCACAAATATAAACTAGAGTAAGAAAACAAACTACACATTTTATCCTATAAAGAATAAAACAGGTGTGAGTTTCAAGAATGCAGAACATTTTATGCTATCGGAACCTATGTAATTCACTCCCATCACCAGGTTGTGCAGCCTCCACCAGCACGATACTGCAGTCACCATCAGTCCGGTTCCCTTGTTAGTGTCCGAGGAAGCGGGCTTTGTATGGTTCCCTCATAGCTTTATATACTTACCTCCACCAGAGACTGCCAAAGCTCCCTCTCCGAGGCGGGTGATACAAGTGCAAATGACAATCGAGACTGGGATTTACGTTTGGATCTCTAATTGAGTCTGATATCTCACAGCATCCCAACTAAACACTCAGCCACCCCATCTACTGTACTTTTGCCTCAAACTTTGTTCAGCTTTGGACATGCTCACTTACCCTAGAAGATAATTGTGTCACTGACGCATACAAATTCAGGTCAGGAACAATTTGTGATACTTAATACATTGTCAAGATGATATGGGTCCTCACATTGGATGGAACCACAAACTCATTATTTTGTCAATATCCTAGTTACTTATTTTTTTTATCAACAATGCTTCATGCTGCAATGTAAAGTCCTACAGGGAACACCCTATAAATTTACTAAATACTATGAGTTGAATTTAAAATGCTTACTAGGTTGGTGATTTAAACAGCTATATATTACCAAGCCATTTAAACTCTGTGTCTCAATGATCACCAGCAAGAAGTGGCAATGTAGAATAAGAATGAAAATGTTTCCAGATTTTCTTGTATGCTTTCCCCTATGCCCCCAGCTGTTTGATTCAATGGTCTCCCCTGGCATCACAGTTTGTTGCTGTTGAGTTGAATAATTACAGATGCTGGTTTAACCTTACAACGGTTGAATTAGGTAGTGCAGACGAAATTCCTTTTTTTCAACAAAAATGTACATTTCCAAGTCTTGAGGTTCCAAGATTGAGGTTCCTTGCTTTGACTGCATTACAGTCATATGAAAGTACAGTACTTTTCCATTTTAATTACCATGCAGTAGTGAAAAGTCAGGTGGGAAAGGGGATATTTTGTATTCATTGTCCACGTTAACTTGAGTTTCAGCATATTTCAGGGCAAAAAGGATTGTCTTCTCTGCCGCTATTTCTTGGAAGCAACAGACAGAGTGCATAGCAATAGGTGACTCGACCAAAGTCATGCTTTTGATTGCTTTTCGTGCTGTTTGTCCTCAGGGGTCACATGTGTTGGGCTGTGACGCACGGGGAGCAAATCATAGTGACTGGGGATGTGACTGTTCCGAGGAAGGTCGTATGGGTTTTGACTGCAGTTGGGGCTGATTACGTCACATCCTTGGACAACACTGACTGTTGGTTCTGGAGGAAGGAAGATAAAAAGACACCTATTAAACTCATTGGATTCACAAACCATATGAAAATCCTTTAGGCAGCAGCCAGGTTTCTAAAAAAAATCGTAATTACCTTCTGTTTTACTTTGATTAAATTAATCTCAACTTTAATTAAGCTTATATTTGTAGTCGGTGCATTTCAATAGAAAATACAAAATCCTATTTCCTAACCACACCCATTGTATTCACTGATCCTAGCTCATAGCTTAGGGGTAAAGAATGCAACAAAAGTCACTTAACTCTATCCAGCTTGTCCGCCTCTCAAAGAACAGTAAACTAATCAATTACATCATCTCACAGAGTGACTAAAACCTGATTTTCCAGTCACTAATGTTACACATTTAACTGATGTCCTTTTGTGTGACGAGGTCTCTAGAACATTCAAAAAATGTGACACTGCCCCAGAACTTAAACTCGAGAAAGACAGACTCCTCGACGACTGAGACAACCGTAATGAACACAACTTGCCAACATCATAGACGTTTTTGTTAGCAGAGGAGGACGTCTCGATCTCAGTGTAAGGCGGGTCCCTGTGAGCAGGAGACTTCATCTCCACGTAGCTGCTTTCGGAGTGCTTGCACGTGAGGGCTGGAGGGTCTTTAATGGTAGCGTAAGGGTTCTCGCTGCTGTTTAATGAGCAGGTGCTGGAGCTGCAAGCTGAGCCTTTCACATAATCTGGATCAAAACAAGAAAAGATAAATGAGAGGTCTCACTCATCTTTTGTACAGATGGACCTTCAGCCCCGGCTGGTGGACACCTTATGTAGGGCTTCCCCTTGCCTTACATGTTTGAAAGATGTCCATAATAACCACGGGGTTACACAAGACTCTTAGGCTTCATAAAGGATACAGAAAATGGTCAATCAATGATTTCGAAAACTGATCGTTGAGTGCCCCATTCCTTACGTGTGAGTCAGTACACCTTCAAAAACTGATAATAAATATGTGTAATAAATATTAATACCTATTATTAATATTAATGATAATAATTAAATCTGATTGGAAGCTTCTCAGAAAATATCAGCTACCACTTATAATTTCAGTCACAGCTGACCTTCAGTGCACAATTCAGTGTTCAGTTCATGCAATGATAACTTTTCCCAGAAGTAAAAATTATATTGTTTCTTAAGAAGCTGGAACCCTTCCCCTCATCACACTCCCTTGAAAGGATTATTGTACAGTCATGATCGCTAAAGTAGTTCATACTCTCTTCAACACACTCTCTAAAAGACATACGCGTACCTTTCATTGTAACACTGATCACCTCACATTCATGTGTCCTCCCATTCTTTCTCTCTCTCATAATCGCTTATGTTATGCCTCATCACTCTCAGACTCACACTGTTATGTATCTTTTGCGCCTTGTGTCTTTAACACAACTTTCTCTATCGCACATTGACATAAAGCACTAAGAGACTGCAAAATTTCACTACGTGTAAAAATACAATCACATATATCTATGGAACACACTGCTGTTAGATCGGAAGGAGAGGAAAGCACAAATTAAAGTCAATCTGTTCACACTCTGTCTGGATTCAGTGCGTTCGAACCACAATGTTACAGTAAAGTACACACTTGGCGACAGCAATGTTTTTCTTAATAAGCAGAAACCAGAAGCCATTCTGAAAGGTTCTACAGTGGTTCGCACATGCTGATCATGACTCGGAGATCCTTAAGAAAATACAGGTCAAATGAGAAAAGGATCAGTTTCAACAGTGGATAAGAAAGTCCGACAGAATTATAGCTTGAAAAGAAACACGGAAAAAGACTTCAGTGTTTTGCCCCCACCACCCTACACCTTCTTCCTTTGCTGCTAACAGTATCAAAGGCGAGAAATTGCCATGATCCACAAATGGCTGAATGGAAAACAAAGACAAGGTTGGAAACCTAAGAAAGAGAAAAGTGTAGTTAACAGTAAAGTTCAAAATATTGCGCGATATTTTACACATCTCTCTTTTTCGTTATACTTCATTGTTCAAACGGGTATTTTTCTTTACTGAGGGATCAAAAATGTAATATCTGCAAATTGGATTCAAGTCACTAATTGAGAGTCACAGGGATTTGCAGAACTGCAAAGTCAACAGTCTGAAAATCAGTGGTGAGCAAAACTTAGATGGAAAACATGTGACAACGTTCCATGATACTGCATTAATTGACCCTGAGTCCAAATGACCCAAAGATGGCTGACGTCCATATTCTATAACCTGACACTAATGTGGGACAAACAGGGTGCAGGGCTTTACATGTGAATGTGTAGTCCTGTACTAACCCGGGAGCAGTAACTTACATGTGCTTTCACGTCTACACAGACTTGTTTAAAAATAGAAGTATTGTTTACTGACCTAAATCATTCAAGTTACTGTAGTGCCTCCATTCAGGATGCAGTGTTCCAGTGAATTCCTGTCCACAACCTCCTTGCCCAGCTCGATCTATATTCTTGATACTTGAGAAAAGCTGGCTTTTTTTCTGTTCGTGAACAAAATATATGACATTTAATTAAACAGATCAATCTTAACCTGAGATAAAAAGTCAAATCTGTCACTTCAATACATTGCATTCTAACATATAGAAGGTAGTAGCAATAATAAGAATCCTCGCATTTGATACAGCGCCTTATCACGTCGTTGAGACGTCTCAAAGCACTTCACAGAATATACTGTAAAGTGAATTGACTGTGTATTTTATGGGTGAAACACGGCAGCCAATTGCCAAGGTATGAGTGCTCAACAGAGAGACACATCAATGGGTTCAAATAAGGAACACTCCCTAGTGGTGAGATCACAGACACATTCCGCATGTCTTATGTCTGTAATACTGACACAAGTGACGCTTCTGCTAGTTGTTATATAATTGGTACAAATTAAGATTCATAAGCTGTTTCTCTTAAACCTTTCGTTTGATCTATATTACCTTATCATCTGTGATGCGTTGATAACTTGATGACTACATCACCTACATGATAAAAAAAGATCAGAGGCTCGAAGATGTGGCTACCACAGTCTGAGTGAACTAGGCAGCTGTACGTACCTTAATGTAATTGTTTCCAGTTGGGTTATTGATGAAACGAGAGAGTTTCCCACACCGTGACAATGTGTGATAACTAGGGTTGGAAAAACAGTGAAGAGTGCTGCTACTTTGCGTTGGATCTAGAAAAATAAGTCAGCAAAAAATATGCAAATACATCTATAAATATATAACTACAATTAATCAGAGGGAGAGTTCAGGTAGATAAAGCTTATTCAGCTCCACATAATAAATTCGATGATGTGAGCTAAACAGTTATCATTCATTTCAGTATCTTTAGTAAATTCACTACTGTTACCTTGAATATGTATAACTTTAAGAAGAAATACCTAATATCTCATTTAATTTTAAATTCAAAATATATTTTTTCAAATTAAAAAATTGCTTTGTTCCCAGGTTTGTACGTCTCGAGACAAACTCCTTAAACTTACGAGCACAAAACACAACAGTACCAATGCAGTGTTACTGAGGGTAGATCACAAGACATGAAGCCAAATTCCTAATGAAACAGGAGGACTGAATGGGATTGAGACAGAGAGAAATTGAGACAGAGAAAATAGTACAAAAGAAAAGTATTGGGAAAGAGAGAAAAGAATGAGACTATAATTTCCAGACTTCCCGCGGACTGTAAATGAGATCTTATTAATTAATGATAGCAATGTTAATAATATTGCTTAGTATCATCTACAAATTCCTGTGAAAATTACATCATCAAGAATATAAAAGGAAAATGGGACAAAAATAAAACGTTACTTCGGACAGAAATAAAAAGCATTAGACTCAAGAAAAGAAAACAAACCCAGCACTTATAACTAGGTTAGAGCACCACCTGTAAGCAAAAACCTTTTCCATTGGATCTGTGACAAAGAAATGGGAATAAATCGGATGCAGAGACATTTTAGGTTAACACCGTCACACTTTGCGAGGAATATTTTAAGATTGAAAAGGACTCGTTGGTTAGAGGTTAGGAAAAGATGCTGCTGAGTCAAACAGTTACTTTCACTTTGGACAACACACCACAGAGAAAAAAATCTAATTCAGTTTGCAATAGTGTTCTTCAAGAGACAAATTTATGTGTAACATCCCACACGCAGATTGGTTAATTTACCTGTTGCATTACCTGTAAATGAGAGTGGACTCCCAAAGTACACACAATTCCATCCGGATATTAACAAGTTAAAAATTATCTTCTCCGCATCTCCCTAGTTTCCCTAGTGAAAAGGGCAAGCAAATGATCTGCCTTAGGTTTCCCCCTCTATCCCGTTAGAGGGTCATACACAAGAGCAGGTAAGGGTGGTTTGACGGAAATAATAATAATAATCACGTCTTCGAGGCACTTTATCCTCACTCTCCGATTTCATTCTCTCGATATCCCAATGGAGAACTCCCCGCGTAATATTTGCGGAAATGTAGCAAATGTCCAGTAGGTTCTGACAGTTCCACAACAAAGTAGTCCCTAACTAATCTACAAATAGACTATAAACACTCAAACCCCATTCCCAGCAAAGATCTAGTGTGTTGCGTCATGGTATGGTGGGATGAAGTTTCACCAACACACCTTGACATGGCAAGTTTCTACTCTTCCCCAGACTATTGGAAGAGTTGCAGAACAGAGGTTGGATAACTTTCTTAGAGGTTGGATGGGTCTTATATCTGCGGCAATATCTGGCTCTTAAATCCCAACTAACAAAACAATTGCCTATGCTCTCATCTGTAGAACATGTGTTGCCAAGTGGATGAGTCCCAAGAGGAGGCAGAATACACCTTTATGCACAAATATATTTAAAATGTAAAATACTGGACATAACTTTCCAGTGCTACTGTCAAGCGTTTGCACTCTGATTCCTTTCTGAACATTAATGTGACAGATTGGATCTACACCAGAATGTGTGCAGTGCTCATTCATACGTGAGGAAGGACAGGGCAGAGTATTTGAAAACCTTCTCTGGAAACCTTCCATGAAAGTAGGTGTAGATTTTAATCAATCTACTACAGTACATCCTTGAGCATCCAGTACCAATAACAATAACATCTAGTGCACAACGACATATCAGTGCACAATACTCTACCTGGTAACACAGATGACCTCAAATGTAGGTTATTACAATACTATGTATGGAGAGAGGATAGTCAATAGGGAATTTATTGCATCAGTCTACAGGCCNAAAAAAAAATTAAGTGATATAAATGATGACAGTCATGAAAGGGTCTGTCACTCTGGGGAGAGATGTTTGTTCAATGTTTCCTTGAGCAGAAACTGAAGCAAATGTACTGGGCAAAAGTTGTCCTAGTGGAAATTTGTCCAAGTCATAACATATTCTGCGAATCGCTTTGAGACGTCTCGAAGATGTGATAAAGTACTATATCAAATGCAAGGAGTATTATTATTTTATTTGTTTATGGTCTGTTTAGAGAGTAAATAATCTCCTGCCATTTTTCTCTCCCTTTACACGTACAAACAGTATAGATTTTTTATATAAAAATTAGTGAACATAAGAATTACTTCCCTTTTAAATTGAGGTCCGGAGAGGTCAAATTTATACCTGAATGTAAGTTTTACTGGAAGGAATTTTTCGGGGGGCTTTTTAGGACTTGCCTGTACAACTTGTCTTGGCATGGTAACACGAGTGACTAAAGCTCTGTGGGTGGGTGTGGTTTATCTTTTGGCATTCAAAGGGATAACAGATGTATTGGGTAAAAGGTCATTAACATTTTTGCAGGAATCCAGAGAGTCTTTTGTTAATAAAATAAATAAAGGATAGTACTTTGCGAAGATCGAGGCAAATAGCGTTGCTGTTGTGGTTATTGTGCAATAATAAAATGTTTGGAATCATTTTTTGATGTGGCGTAGAGGAGTATCTTCTGTATTTGCCATCAAGAGTAAGTCTGCCAATGGCATTCCTCATGTATGTTTTGCTGCTGCTGATATGTGTAAATCTGTTCATCTTTCAGAAGCTTTCCAGCCTGTAACAACCAGCACAACAGCAGGCACGTCTTTCTGTCAAAATAATCTTCTGAATTGATCATCTTTTGAGGGGATTCCCAATGTTTATGCGAACGTACTCAATTATCGGAGTAATTTGGCCGAGCAGACGACGTGGGAAAAAGACTCATTTGCTTCACGGTTCAGTTCTGCGTTTTACTCATCTATTTTCCCCCAGTTTTAACCTGCTTCGTTTTCTCTTCTCTTCCGATCTTTCCTGTGTCAGTGCCTTGTAGTTTCCTCCCAAGGCTCTGCCATGACTTCTCTGGATCCAACTGCTCAGATGTACAGGAGCAGCATGGAGTGATGACCTGCTCCTTCTGATTAAAGGGCTCTCTGTTCTCACCTCAATGTACAACTCCTGTATCATCTCATTCCTAAATCAATATTTTAGTAACACGCAGCCTGCCCCATAAATAAAATACATTTTGTTTTCATCCCTTCAGGTCAAAATAAGGGTGAGATTTGTTCTGCAGTCACCTCCTTACCCTATGACTCAACCTCTAGTTCCACGTTGGAGTCCTATGCAGTCTTCTCTCTCCCACTGCAATTCTCCTCTGCTCCCTCCTCCTCACTTTGACCTTGCTAAACCCCCTCTCATATCTACCATCAATTATTCATAATAAATGAAGGCGAGGGGAGAGGTGACTGAGCGGATTTACATGAAAGGCTATTTGGGGTAAAAAAAAACTGCTGAATTTAACACATTCATTCAGAACGTCAAGCAAGCAAGCAAAACAATCTGGTTGTTTGATTTCTCTGTGAAGTGCTGAAGATATCCTTACCAGAGAGGGAATGGTCTGTATTAGTCATCCGCATAGCGGGGGTGTAGGATACGCTAGGCATGTCGTGGCCTTTCTCTTTCTGATTCCATTTGTACCAGACGAACAGAACCAGCAACACGACTATTATCAAGAGAAGGATAACGATTCCAGTGATTGCTCCAACTGAGTGTCTGTCAGATGCAAGCGCTGGGCTGATTTTCGTGTAGGGGTTCAATTCATCCATTATCAGGGCCGCTGTGGAAGAGAGCATGCTCATGAGATAAAGAACATATGGCGCTTTCAAATGAAACCTATCGTTAAAAGTAATACTGTAGCAGACGCCCCTACAGTACATATTTTATTAGAGGGAAGTCAAGTTGCCCGTGATGTTTGTCACATGCTCTACATACCCTGGTCACATCTGATGCCTTTGAATCCAGGGGAGCAGTAGCAAGTCCCAGTGACGTGATCACAGGTAGCGTTATTCATGCACTCACATAGATGCTGGCAGCCATAACCAAATGTACCAGGTGGGCACTCTGCAAATACATTGGAAAGAGTGTCACTCAGGAGCTTCACACCACACCACCAGATAGAACATACAGGAACATAGGCACAGGAGAAGGTCATTCAGTCCCTCTAGTCTGTTTCTCCATTCTATAAGATCATCGCTGATCTGCCCCTCAACTCCAACTGCCCTCCCTTGCCCCATCTCCCTTGATACCCTGACCTAACAAATATCTATCCACCTCAGCCTTGAAAACTTGAATGGATCCAGCAACCACAGCCTTTTGGGGGAGAGAGTTCCAGATTTCCACTACCCGTTGTGTTGGGGATATTGAATCCAGATTTGTGTGAACTATGACGCAATATGTTACGATAAACTGCGAAAGTTACAAATAAAATATTCCTTCGTTTCTCAACTAATCTCTGTTTAAGTGATTGGACATTTTGATTTTTGAGTGCTGGAGACACTTTTTTTTAGGAAGAAGTGGTTTCAAGGAAGTACTGAGTTGTTTAACGTCCAGTTCACATAACTGGAAGCAAAATAGGAAAGAGTAATGGAGAGGGAAGCTTGACTTATATTTTCTGTCTCAATTGCATTGGATGAGGCCTGAGGCACCTGGATTCACATTAAAAAGTTCCATTAAAGAGATGGTTTCGTAGTGACCTCTTTAATAACATTACAAACATGTTCCTTTAAGAGTTTGTAGGTGATCCATTAGACTACTCAAGTATTTTCAAAGGACCATTTCACAGCAAAGCTCAGATTGATTCACACTGCATTTATAGCGCAGCAGTGAAATATCAATGTGCTGCCAAAACTACCTCATGATGATCTTGGCAGCGAGGTCTACAACACGATTTACTTACGTATTGTGGGGAATCTCGCTATTGGGTTGTCGAAATTAAAATACGTATCTGTTAGACTTACAAACAGTTGAAGTGTATACCGCTCTTCTCCTACTTACTCTGCTCACAGTGTTTTCCTGTGAAGCCAGTTCGGCATGTACACTCTCCTGTGATATGATCACAGTCCGCACCATTTTGACACTTGCAGAGTTTTGTGCAGTCTTTTCCAAAGAAACCCATTGGACATCCTGGAACATAAATTCCCACATAAGAACCACACGTTCAAAAACATAATCTTTTCACTCAATATCGACCTCTAACGCAAATCAAGAATATCCCTCTGGCACACTTCATACTCCAAGTTCCTGTGCCCTGGATGCAGCGTCCCATAGGACGTTTCTTTTTTGGTCAGCCGGGAGTCTGACACATATGGAAACCCATCACTGTTGCTTAAGAATATCCAAACCAAGCTGAGATTTCCAGGCATCCCACCTACACATGGAAATCCCAGAGATAGATTGTTGGACTGGAATGCGCTCTCTCTCTTCCTGGAGGGACGCATAGTGCTTACCCAATTCCAGAAAGTATTAGGCGCAGGTTGGCGTAGAGCCAAGGTTTTGGCAGAGCCCAGAGTGTGCTACGGGATAACTGCTGGAGCCTAACCAACTGGGACATAAAATCATTAACTGCACGAGAAGAGGACCCCAGGGTTATATTATTCTGCCACAAGGTGGCAAGCTATTCACAGGGTGTTTTTTGTTTGTTTGTAGGAGAACGTTCAACTTAAACGGGTACTCACTCTGGGTGCAGTACAAGCCTGTCCAGCCCTGTGTACATCGGCACTCTCCATCGTAAGCACTACACAGAGCTCCATTGTGGCAGTTACACGTGTGAATGCAGTTCGGGCCCCAGTAACCAGAGGAGCAAGCTAAACAGGAACATAGCAACGATTAGAAGCTTATTGAGAAATCCTTTATTGGAACATTTATTGCTAAAGGGTATTTCTGAGCACAGTTGTACTTACTCATTTGATATTGTCAATCACTTTGAATAATTAGTAAGTTGAGCGGGCATGGTGTGAAAACGGGGATCGAAAGCCACAATTTCAAAGTAATAATATTGCACTGATGCATCTAAATGCAACGTTTAAAAGGAGGAGTGATTTTAGGAGACACATCTGGGATTGTGTGAGATTCTATATGAATGTCTCCATATCTATATTTCGTAACAAGTTCCAAGTCGGCACAATGACTGTTCTATGTTATAAACTGCCACACAAAAAAAAAACAAAAAAAAAGCTTTAGGGAGCTCTATACTTTTGAGAGTGTATTCTTTCAATTTCCTTGCAGACTATAAAATTGATTGGCTGCTGTCGTGCACTGTTACATTGAGCCACAGATGATGATTTGCAGAATACCAATGCTTTGCAGTTCCACAGTGAGGTTTGGCTAACTCTGCTGACTGATACAGTGCGTGACGTAATCTTGACTAACAGCTTGTTGATCAACAGTTCACAAGGAGTTTCAGCTAATGCCTTACAGTCACACGGTATCTGAGGCTGTCGGCTAATAGATCAGTTTTACAAACCTTTTTACTTTATTCACTGATATTTCTACAAAATGTAATCTCGTCTTAACCTTGCTCATTGAGAAAGCGATTAGGTTGTACTTGAAAACCTTGCTGTAGGTAGATTTGAGCGCACGTATGAAGCAATTTTCATGATGGTGCGTCTGAATAAGATGAAGCTTTGCTTTCATGCCTAAATGAAATTGACTATTATAGTCTTCTCCATCAGGTAGTCAACTTTTTAAGAGACTGAGAACAAGTAGGAGAGACGATGCGATGATTTCAGAAATAGGTGTGACTTCTAGAAACTCAGTCTTTATGGCTTTTACTTCCCCCAAAAAATGGAAATCCTTTCCAAAAATCTTCCATTTCCAGTTTGCTCACTACTTACATTGTGAACAGTCCTTTCCAATCCAGCCTGGGTAACACTGACAGGTGCCATCGATAGGATTACACGTGCCATTGTTTGAACACACACAGGTTCCAGTACATTGCTTGCCAAACCTTCCACTCGCACATACTGTCAAAATAAAAGCACAGCTCACATCAGGTACACTGACAAGCTGCAAAGAAGCATTTGTTTTTCCCTCCGTTTACACAGTAACTTAATGCTCGAGTTCCACACTTTGTTTCATAATAATCCTTGCATTTGATATAGCGCTTTTCACGTCTTCTCGACGTCTCAAAAGCGCTTCACAGAATAGGCTGTAAAGTGAATTGACTGTATATTTGTGGGCGAAACGCGGCAGCCGATTGCGTCCCACAAACAGTCGTGGATTGAGTGACCAAATTGTTATTGCTTTTTGTTCTTGAGGGATTATTATCAGCCGTGTGGAGTAAGGAAACTTGCCCAAGGTTTCACCCTGCCGGGAATCTAACCCAGGTCTCTCACTTGCCAGGCGAGTACTCTAACCACTGAGCTACAGGACTCCACGATTTCTTCTCTCTGTTGACAAGGGATTATTTAAGAACTCTTATGTTTTTGTGTGTTTTTAATAGTGATGTTACCAGAAACCACAATAATTCCATTTGCGGGAACATACTTTAACTCTCAAAATGTAACCTTTGCTGCCTTCCTGAATGATTCCTTTCATGAAGCCCCCGTTTTAGTTAATCAGCTATACAGTCTGGAGTCTGCATATAAAACTTTTCATCTTTCTGATCCAACCATCGAATTAGCCCCAAGAAAAGTCATTCGTCAGATAAGCCTGCAGTCAATTAGATGTTCTTCTCATTTAACCAGTACATGACAGAGATTTCACAGAAGTGCGAAGCACATCATATCCTCTTTCAGATGATTTATTTGGTAGTGCACCGCTGGTTTTTACCGTACTGGGAATTAAGAGCATTAATCTATATTTACTCTACTTTTAATGATTATGCCTACGAACTTGCTGTAAGTTGGTGTAAAATATCTGATGTAAAGTTGAGCAATCATTAGAAACTTGAAGTTCAACTCGTTAACGAACTTGGCACTGAATTCTGGTAAGAGACTGACTACATCAAAAACCTTTCAGAGAAGTATATAGATTACGAAATGGGGGGGAAATGTGTAGAGCATACACTGCGTGGCGAATTGAGGGCTTGGTGAAGAATGTTATTTAACCGGGTAACATATAAAAGACTAATATTACTTCAAGATAACACAATGACGAGACAGTGAAAATATAAAATTAAGACACACTGGAAGGTGGACAGTGTAGGTACAGCATAATTGACTACACAGTGCTTACCATTATATATTGGAAACTAGACCTGAAATCCAGGTACAGCTTTTCATGTAGAAATAAAAAGTTCTATGAGGTGGGGAAAAGGGCACATTACAAAAAGGGGTAAAGATACAGAAATAGACTGCAGAGGCTACACATTGGAATGGTAGAGGTATGAAAATAGGATACACACTACCACAACAATAGGGATATGTAGACTTTAATATGAGTTTATGTATTAATAAACAGAGATCTGCACGAAACAAGGGCAATTGATCATAAGGACTATTTGAAGTCTGGCAGCAAATGTTCAATCTTTCAATCTTCCAATTATTGTCAAGTATCCTGGTGCAGTACAGACAGAATTCATTAATAATACCATATTCATCTGCAGTTTCTACTATGGCCTGAGCCAATAAATAATTGTTGTACAGCTTCTATAAGTTGCTGCCTGGGCAGAATTGTAGCAAAGAAATCTTCATTGCTCCAAAGTTCCTGAAGGATGGGAGGGATAGGTTTACATAATGTTAAGCCACACTCTTCAGTTACAATGTGCTAATGAACCTCTGCACTATGGAGTGCAGTCAAGAAAGAGTTTTCTTGCTTTCTCTCACCAGAGAGATTATTAGCCGAAACGTTAAGATGCTCCAGAGGCTCTGATCTTACACTTTATGAAACCTTCTCTTTGTAGTACTCTGGGGTTTAGAAAGTGGAGGTCATGCTCAGCGCTGTTTTAATCTTTAGATTGCAATAATCAGCAACACAGTTGGAGTTTGAAAACTGTGTCACACAACTCACACAAACTGTATGTTTCAACTTATCCCATTGTTTCTTTTAATGGAGCCGTGCACAAAAATACTGATTTTCGCGTCACCCGTAAGCTCATAAACGGGTGAGAAATTGGTTTTTTTCCAATCGGAACGATTGACCAGCTGGCTGAATGGTGCACGAATCAGTGTGATACGATTGGACATTACTTTTCAGGGAGAATGTAACAAAAGGTCTTACCTACACTGCAACAGGTAATTTTAAACTGAGGAGAAGGGGGAAGCCTTGATGCACAAGCTATTCAGACGTATTCAAAGCATTACCTTGATTACAAAGGGATCCGATGAAGCCTGGCAGACATTCACAGTAGCCTGTGACATGATGGCAAGGACCATTACTGTGCACACACTGGGGACACGCTTGGCTGCAGTGATGGCCATAAAATCCAGGAGAACAGACTATAAGAAAACAGAAACAGCTGACACAGTTGAAAACAATACACCCAGGGACCCGGCGTGCCAGCTGAAAATATCCCAGTTTTACTTTTAAACTGGTTAATAGACCAACACCGAATGCATAAAAATATAATAATAATACTTGCATTTCATACAGCGCCTTATCACAACGTTGAGACGTCTCAAAGCGCTTCGCAGGGCAGATTGGAAAGTGGAGTGACCTGTGTATTTTGGGGGCCAAACGCGGCAGCCAACTGCCAGTAGTTACCCGTGCCGTCGAAAAAGGACCGGTACGGCAAACAAAGTTACCGGTACGTCCCGTTAGCTATTTGTCGTCCTCCCCGCCAAGCACGAATTGTAGCCCGTGATCGTGTGCGGAGTAGCAATGGATTTTTAACAGCCGTGCACTTACTTCTTTGGCAGGTAGCTCCCCGGTATCCAGGCGCACATTCGCAGGTTCCATCCTCAGGTGAACAGGAGCCCCCATTGTCACAGTTACACGAAATGGAGCAGTTTTGACCCCAGCGGCCTTGGATACACACACTGTCACAGTGAATACCTGGAAAAGCAAACGGATCCAATATCATTACAAAGTACTTACAATAATCTTGCGTTTGCATTTTTGACGCAACACCTTATCACGTCTCCGAGATGTCTCGAAGCGCTTCCTGGAAAGTGAATCGAACCGCACATTTTGTGGGCGAAACGTGGCAGCCAATTGCACACAGCAATGTCCAAATCAACAGTCGTGGATTGAGCGACCAAATTATTATTTTTATTTATTTACTTAGAGCACTGACAATGGCTACGATAAAAATACTATTCTATCAATACAGTCTAATATTGCTTTATTTGGATTATATTTCTTAACATAAGTAACACATTCTGAACCCAAAAAAACTCAAAGGAGAAACTAAAGGAGTTCTAATTTCTCTGGTCGGTCCCATTTGAACAGAATCTTTTAAGTGTGTTTTTAAAAATCTTTTTAAATTGTATTGTCCGAATTGTGTTACCAGCAAGAAAATAATCAGTCCTGGAAAGCGATCTGTCTTTTCGTTCCAGATGCACAGCAGGTGAAAGAACAAATAAACAAACAGCAAGATGTACTTTCACACCAGAGGAAGGGAAAAATCAAAGTGAGTCACAGTAGGGGCCTGAGTGATATAATGGCTTAGAACACTATCCTTTCATCTTTCAGTCTGAATCACTCCAGACTAATGGGTCTCTCTCTGTGCCAACTGGACGGGTCTTAAGTGAAATGAACTTGGGACAGTCTCAACTGAATTCTTAGTGGGCACAAGGCCACGGAATGAAATGGTCCAAATCTGGAACTGAATCAACATGTTCATTCAAGATTGCCAATGTGGACAATGGAAATGTCCATTTGGTGAACTGGGATGTGGGGACATCCTCCCAACACTGAAAGCGATAAATAAATACAATTTGTTGCTGTGCTTGTGGTCGAATTAGGAGGTGCCCTTCAGCTGTGGTTTGGGTATAGCAGAAGAGGCTTTATTCGGCATCTAACCCAGTGGCAAGTCAGTATTAATTGTATTTCTGTTGCATTGTTAAAGAGCGCAAGAAAAATCATATCAAGGTTTAAAAAATGCAAATTCAATGCATAATAAATGAAACGTTATATTTTAATTCACCGGCAATTAGATTAGATAAGATGTTTAAATGACTCGAGAAAAAAGGTACGGTAATGCGTTGGGAATTCAATTCTGGTACTACTCCCTTCATCAGAGAAAGCCCTTTGAAGAAGGATTTGTATTCTGAAATCTTTGTGGCTTGATGAATGCTGCCTGTCCAAGTGAATTATGATAGAAAGATGCAACCGCGAAAAGGTGCTGTTCTTCTTGTGGAAATTTAAAAAGTAGAAGTTAAGAAATAAGGTGTGTTTTGTCTTGAGACGTTTCAACCACATGATAAGGCGCTATAGCAAATGCAAGGATTATTATCTTTTACAAGCACACCGTCTCCCATAGTTACCTGGACTACACCTCCTCCCACCCAACTTCCTTAAAGACTCCATTCCCTTTTCCCAATTCCTCCGCCTCCAATGCATCTGCTCTGACGATGCCACCTTTCACACCAGAGCAGCCGAAATGCTCTCCTTTTTCCTCGACCGAGGTAGGCAGGGCCCTTGACCGTGTCAGCCCTATTTCCCACAGCTCTGCCCTCACCCCTTCCCCCTCTTCCCAGAACCATGACAGGGTCCCCCTAGTCCTCACCTTCCACCCCAGCAGCCTCAACTTCCAACAAATAACTCTACACCATTTCCGGCACCTCCAGCGTGATCCAATCACCAAACATATCTTTCCCTCCCCTCCCCGTATTCCGAAGGGACCGTTCCTTTCTCCATAGACACTGCCTGACCTGTTTCCAGCGACTTCTGTTTTTTTGGGTTTTTTTGTTTCAGATTTCCAGCATCTGCAGTATTTGGCGTTTTGCATATCTCTCCAGCCTAGGAGTATCACTCTCATTCAGTAGATTTTTATCATCAAAAAAGCAGGTTTGATAATCACATGGAATAAAAGCCCATTAAATGATAAATTAGAGGGAATGAGCCGGTTGGTTTGTAAACTAGTTTAGGAATAGAAAGCAGAAGCTGATGAATGCTGGAAAAAACTCTGCCAGAGAGGAGACAAAATGAGTAGTAAAGTTATACAAGGGTTTGTTCTGGTTTTATGTTGTAAGTGAACTCCTATAAGATCACTTATGTAAGATCCTATAAGTGCTTACATGAGAGCACTTCTAATGTTATAGAATTGTTGATGATACCAAGCTACGTGGGCAGGTAGATAATATAATGAGGATAAATGGCATTCAGCAAGATGCTGGATTGCCAATTAAACACATGGGCTGATGGTGCCAAATTGCTTTTAATGTAGATAAATGTGAGGGAATGTGTATCATGACAGTAAGCATATATACACACATACGAAGGTGTGTGCATTAGCAGCGATAGGGAAGGAAACCAGATTTGGGTGTAATTACTGATCATTCATTTACAGAGTCTATTCTCTACGAACCTGTGGTCAAGCGACGGATCTATTAGAGATTGCATCTTAGGGGCATTTGATTTTAATCAAAATAAGTTAATCTAGCCTTGTATAAATAGCACTGCTGAGGGCACATTAGAACACTATGGGGAATGTGGGACATGCTACCTTCAAAAGTACAGTGCTCAGAGGAATACACGAGACACAGAGATGCAGAAGGTTTTTGGCCCATTGAATCCCATCTTTCCAACACAGAAAAGGTTTCAGGGAAGAGGTACGGAAATTATTCCAGGATTCAGACCTCTGACTTCAAAGGACTTAGTTTTTTTCCCCTGAATTGAGCTGGGATATGGCACAGATTTTTAATATGGTGAGAGGCACAGTCGATGTGCGCAATTAGACTGATTTAGACTGAGTGCAGAACTAGAGTAGGTTTAAAGTAACAATTAGAATGAGTTTAAAATTAACAAGCCTGAACCAAAACTAGAGATCAGAAGGATATTTTATGTGGAATGGTGTGGAAGCACAACAATAGTTGACAGTGCTATATTATCTCCTTCATAAAGTTTCCTTGGGTAAACTATTGGAGGATAGATACATAGACAGACAGACAGACACAGACAGACAGACAGACGAACAGACACAGACAGACAGACAGACAGACAGACAGACAGACAGACAGACGAACAAATACACCATATAGGTGTGCTCCTGGAGCTTGAATAAATGATTGTGTCTGTGGAGGGGAGCAGACCAGCATTTAAAATGGAGATGTGGGGGAATGAAGAGATATTCTTGAATTTTAGCACTGAGACCGTCCCAAAATCATTTCATTTCGAATTCTTACATCTGCCGGAGAAAAATGACTTTCATTTTATCAGACTAGATTCACACCTATTCACAGAGGTGTAAGCACAATGTGCTAACTCAGGGCGCTATCCAGACTTAGCTTCCCTTTTATTCAAACACAACATTTTAAGAAAAAAGGTAAAGGTTGACGTTGACAAGGATCTTTGCTGGGAGTGCTTGGTAACTGGTCGCTAGGAAATAAAACCTGCAATTCGGACATGAATCTCACTCCAACTGCCCCCTCAACACCACACATTTGTAGATGTCAAGCAACAGGATTTACGGTAATTTTGCTTAAATGTGTATAACATATTTGGCGCTGTGGTCAACACTGCAACTTGAAAATTGCTGGATAAACAATCTATTATCACATCAAAGGGCAGGAAGCTTTTTGACTTCTGCCACGTTGGAGGTGCCTGAATTACCTGCTCTCTTCCCCATCCACTTCACAGGGTTCATGTCTTGTTGGGACTTTTATTTGAAGGAAACTGTGTTTGTAAATACAGCAGCAGACTCATTGTAACAGAGTAAAATTTTTTAATGTGGAATGTCGTTAAAACCCAATTAATCAGCCAGATTAAACTTCCAAAGATAAGGAAGTGAAGCCAATTCTAAACAGGGCTTATGTTACATTTAAAGCCTGTGAGAAACGGCAGGGGTTCGAACAAGAGAGATCTAACATTAAACATAAACAGAATTCCATATCCAGAAGGTTGGGAACGGTCAGAACCCAGAGGATTTTAGAATTACACCCTACGCAATCTTTCCTCCCCCAGGAAACACCTAATAAAACATGCAGTCTTCCCTTCCTTTGTAAGTTCACAGTGAAACCTCAAAGGTTTTAGTTAGACTGAGTTGAAAAATACTTTTTGACTTCTGCATTTTCAACAACTGACCATCTTTTTTCTTTAAACAACACTGCACTGTCATTTTACAAACAGTGCAATATCCTACAGATCAAACGAACCAGCGTGAAGCTCTTTAGCTTCCGGAAAAAAAGATGATGGGCAACACTGAACCAGAGTGATGAATGAGTGTCTTCACATTCGAAACTCATTCGCAAAAGGAGGAAAACCTCTGCCATAACATCAAGTCACAGTGAAACATTATTATTGAAACCTTTTCCTGGTTCTTCGACTGAAGTATGGAGGAATTCAAACCACTTTAAGATGAAAGCCTGATATCAATGATTTTGCCCGGCTACATGTGGTTCTAACAAGATTTGACTCTTCGGTCAAACCTTTAAAAAAAACATTTTTTATTTTGAGTATAATTTTGATACAGTTTATTCCTGGATGTCTGGTTCCTCTGTTGACATGATTTGATTCCAAGCAGTTTTCACATCTCCCCAGAGGTGGGTGGCTGACATATTAAATTTAGATTGTAAAGCAAATACGGTTTGCAAAACATTACATTTCAACAACCTGTCACAGCAATAGTTTACATTCCCAGTTCTGTGACTCAGTGGGAGCTTAAAAAAATGACAGTAATATTAATGTATGATAACATTGGAGAAATATTGCTGACTTCGACACATACTCTCGACACCATGACAAATTTGTAGAAACAAGGTTGACCAGTATTTACGGAACAGGAGTAAAAAAATAAAATGCCTTATAATAAATTAGAGCAAACCGTGACTTCAGTTAACTGTAATACAAGAAAAGCTGGCTTTCAAACTGGAATAAACTCTGGAATAAAGGTCTGAATAGAGTAGATTTATTATAGGGTGGCATATTGCATTTGTGCTTCAAGTAGCTTTGGCACAGCGCGCCGGAAACCAAGTTCATTCCTCACATTCCTCCAACTCCAGTTGGATTTATTCCAAGAGGTTTCATCAGATGACGTATTGCCATTGAGGACTGAGTTACTCCTAAATAAGTTCATTATGGAGCCACGCAAAAATCAACCATTTTGAAAAAGCTGAACTTCTTGTTGGATTAAAAAGATGGGGAGTGGGGAGGGGGAGAGGAATTGGGGACCATTAGAAAATAACATATGATGATAATAATCGTTGCGTTTGATATAGGGCCTTATCACGTCTTCGAGACTTCTCAAAGCGTTTCACAGAATATACTGTAAAGTGAATTGACCGCATATTTTGTGGGCGAAAAAGATGATTGGAACAGTTAAACCCAAACAATTACAGGCCCAGTCCAAAGTACGAGGAGTACACAGACTGAGAGCAAAAGAGGAATTTAACATATTTTGTGGCTTTATAGGTCAGTAATACTCACCAGTCCACCCTGCTAGACAGCGACAGTATCCAGTGATGGGGTCACAGCCGTCTGCGTGGCTGCAGTCGCAGCGCTCACTGCAACCCAGACTATAAGTTCCATCCTGGGAAAAACAATGAATAATCAAAATATATTAATAATCCTTGCGTTTTGATATAGCGCCTTATCACGTCTTCGACCTTTTTAGCTGAATAGTTGTCCAACGTGGCATTACACACACATTTGCAAATGACTCAAATGTATTTTATTTGACGAAGGGTCGTGGACCCGAAATGTTGACTCACTTCCCTCTCTCCATAGATGCTGCCTGACCTGCCGAGTTCTGTTTTTGTTTCAGGTTTCCGGCATCTGCGGTGTTTTGCGTTCTGTATTTTATTTGGATTGCTCAATATATTAAACCTATGATTTTTAAAATCCCGATTTCTGTTTTTTACCCTGTATAACATAAATCTATCCGACAGGCGCTTGCAGATGCTTTAATTTGTGCTATTTTGGTCAATTTCCCCATTGGATGAATATAATAATGAGTGCCCATCCTGTAATCACTAAGTAAGGCATTTGAATGAATTCCTTTGCCTGTCAGTCGAGAGTTACATGGAGATCAGCAGTGGGTGGAAGTTTATTACAAAACAACACCTTGAGGTATTCATTTGCTGCTTCGCACAGTGCTTTGATGTAATATTACTTGGTGCTGCACTCACTCGCTGCATCCAAGAGACTAATTACTTACTGGACATGGATGGTCACAGTGTTTTCTACGCCATCCAGGCGAACATGTGCAGGTACCGTCCACTGGATTACAAAATGCCCCATTGGCACATTTGCAAGTGCTGTTGCAATAAAGTCCCCAAGTGCCACTGGAACAGGGAATAGAGCAATGTACTCCTTGCCAACCTGAAAAGCAGAGGGTGTTAGTAAGGACAGAAGAACTAGACACACTCAACTTTTTCATAAAACATCCCAATTTTCAAGCCCCCGTGTCACCGGATACACCGACAAAGCCACTAATTTCACGGCTTTTTCACATTTGTGTACCACATTCAAAGTTTGTTTGATTCCGCTCTTGAGACCTTTTCCACGAATGTTTGGTGTGAAAAAGGGGCAAAAGGTCCTTCTGTTTCTACCGCAGTCAATTACAGTCAAGGTAACATGGGGTCAGTTCAGGATGAATTAAAATGTAATGAAATGTTGGTGACATTCTGAAATTTTAGAGATGTTTAAGATTTCTGGATTCGATGCAGGTCTACAATTTCTTAGGGACAAGATGGTTTCTTAATCTTTGAATCTGAGCAACAACGTTTTGCACAGTTAAAAGGTCAATATTACTTGCTTCCAACATCACAGCAGTAATTTTTAATCACCTTTGCAACAAATTTATGTTGCTGCTAAGACCAGTTTAAGATTACACTGAGTTTATAAGAAGGAAGTGGTACCAGTAGGAATTTTATCTTTTTCATCATTACAATTATTGATGTAGAGAAGCACCATTACTTTAAATTGTTATTAAATCTTGACGTTGATAGACTTCATTGATAAGTTCAGAATTCAGCCTCAAGAACAGTAGTATAATAGTGAACATTATACATATGTGGGTGGTGTGATCATAAATACCTTCTTTGCATATACAAGAGCCATCAATGGAGGAACACGCAGTATAATGCTTGCAACTGCACGTAGATGAACAATTGGTCCCATATTTGCCGGGCTGGCATGAGAGAGAGCAGTCATCACCCTGGAATATAAAGGCAATGGCCATCCATCAGATCTTGCAGATCACTCCAATTCATTCACATTAACGGAGAATGATTCTAATTCTTCACTCGGGACTTCAAGGTGTCAGCACAGCATCGTTCAACAATGCAGCACATGCCCAGCACTGCATTGGAGACTATACGTTCAAAGTTCCAACGTGGAGCTGAACGTACAACCTTCTGACTCAGAAGCGAGAGGAATTAAAGGTTCAAACTATTGTCCTAAAGTCCGTGACTGTATATCACAAAGAATATTGGTTCTCATACAGTTCACCCTCTTTACTAATCCTGTTAAAATAAACGTTTGTTGTACTATATTTTCCACACTTCCTCGCTACAGTGGAATGCCTGCTGGTTTTTTTCTCCAAATCTCCTGTCATGAAACTTAAGAAAGGGAAATTCTGTGCCAATGTGTCTTTGCGCCATTCACATTCACATCGCCATTTGTACATTGTAGCTAAAAAGCAGTGATCACAACCTCTGGGATTATATCGGTATTGACTGAAACGCGACACAAATATTCAACTTCTCCAACCAGATGCATAAAGGAGAGAGAGAGCCTGAATTCTAAGACATTTTACCATGAAGTTTTGTAAAACATTTATGTTTAACTTATTAATAGGATTCCAAACGTAAGCTGCTGATAGAAATAAACAGATTCCAGTAATGCCCGAAGGCTCCAAACCTGTTCTGCAATCCATCTGCTTGATTTACACCTCTCTGCCAATGCAAACAGAGTTCACTATGACATTTTACTGTTTCCCCCCCCCCCGAGTTTCCCTCCCACTTGCATATGCTGCATCACCACCATTAAACATTGCTCATTAAAAGCCTCCCAACTCATTTTTTCCTATGAATAATCATTCTTTGAAATGCTAAGAAGGTTATGCAGGTTATCACGGCGAGTGACATTATTATCTGTGTCCTCAATGTACATCACAGGAAGTGCAACAGCAAGTACCCGATCAAATGAATTCCTGCCGGGGCTGCAAATATGTGACAGATCAGACATTGCCTCCAGAAATAAGCTGCTGGCTTGAGGCATGTTCCTGGAAAGTGTGTAAAGCCCTATTCCATTTCTTATCTTTCTGAGGATTAGTTGCCAACAACTTAGCTCATACTTGAAAAAGAAAAAAGTATTGAAAATAAGAATTCTCCCTCAAAAATAATGCTCCTAACAATATGTAGCTCTCGCTTTATAATTATCAGAGAAAATCAGCTGGCACTTGGTGCAAGAACGATACCTCTTTTGCTTCTGGAGACTAATAGTGAGGACAAGGTTAGATAACATTCGGACACTTAAGCCATGAAATGGAGTACAATCTTGGAACGAATATGAACAAAATGGGTTCTCTGCAATGCAGGAGGTTTAAAGGGATATCAGCATCATTGAGTCTGTCTTGCAGGACCTCAACTAATCATTATAAACCCAGAACAAGGCATAAATCTGAACCTATCATTTTAATGGTAGTTTCTTCCTGCTTTTTTACCTCATTAGACACATCGGTTTAGAAGCTGGGTGGTAAGGGGAAATCAGAGGGCAAATAAGCCCTTTGGGGAATCCAATATCATACATATCTTAATGGTGCCTGCAAGCAGCAGCGGCTGGAGTCTGGGTGCAAATCACCAGCTGGAGCTGGACTTTCTCATAGCATTTAAGAGTCTGGATTATTTTTGTTTGAAATTTTCAAACTAAGTTTTCTATAGTTCTTAAAGTAACCCACAGAAAACTACCTTCAAAGTTAGGACTAAATTGAAAAATTGTCCCAAGTTGTCCAAATTCATACTGGAATACTAAGAAAAAGTGGAATTTCTCTCCCCCACACACCCAACCCCCAAGTGAAATGAATTTAGTAGTCTCAACCCACTTCCCTGCAGGATTGAGTCTGCATCCAGAAACTGGCTCCAAAAGTATCATCAGTGCCATTGTGACTGTTTCCCACATCACAACAGAAATCTCCCTGTGGCCTTCCAACAGAGGTCATAGACAACTGATGTTGAAGACAAACAATTCTGCTGATACTCTCTACCAGCATTGCAATATCTGGTCGGTCTGCCTGCCTGCCTGCCTGCCTACCTACCTATCAAACTATCTAACTAACTAACTAACTAACTAACCACTGACGTATATGCCCAGTACTGTATAATAATAATAATATAATAATCCTTGCACTTGATATAGCGCTTTTCACGTTTTGTAGACGTCTCAAAGAGCTTTGCAGAATATAATAATAATCCTTGCGTTTGATATAGCGCTTTTCACGTCGGGAGGACGTCCCAAAGCACTTCACAGAACACACTGTAAAGTGAATTGACTGTATATTTGTGGGCGAACGCGGCAGCCAATTGCGCACAGCAATGTCCCACAAACAGTCATATGGATTGAAAATGACCAATTTATTAGTGTTTTTTTCTTGAGGGATTATTATCAGGCTTGCCCAAGGTTTTGCTCTGCCGGGAATCGAACCCAGGGCTCTTGCTTGCGAGGCGAGTGCTCTAACCACGGAGCTACAGGACTCCACAAGGTATTGATATCTGTACGGTATGTTGCAAATGTTATTTATGGGCCCCATCGTTTTAATTTGAAATAATTATTATATCTTGGTTATGATTCTCTATAAAGGTTTTATTATTTCAATCAACCTCTGGGAAGCCTCTGCTCCTAAATCATCCTGAATGAGAAGACGGTGAATTGGATCTGAAGTTGACATGGGATCACTAGAAATGTTGCATAGCTGCAACAAAGATATTATTTGGGTTAAGACAGAAAGCCACTTTAAAATATCACTGTGTTTATGGTTCTATGACCAAGTTTACATGCTATTCCTACGAGAGTCACTGCCCACTGACATCAAATAATCCTCATCGCTTGTTAAATGGATCATAAATGAGGGACTGTTGAAGCATGTCTGTAAATAGGCCGGGTTTATTGTGCTTAATATTTCTGGGATATTATTATTCTATCTGGTCTGCAACACTTTAATGGCAACCGTTTTCCGGCGATCTTTATGCTTTTACACGGCTAACATCTATCTATGTCCTGATTCTAAATTAGCTGTTTTTATTGCAAACGGATTACTTGAAACGAATAGATGGCTTTTCAGGTGGATTTCACACATTGTGATCCTGAAAGCATGCGGAAAAATCTGTCGTTTAACAGCCTGCTGAGCTCAAGGTTATATTTGCTGAAAAAGAAACGCTCGGTGCAGGTGCAGTCATTTGGTTGGCACAGCATTTAATGGGTGAATCCAAGCTTAATATCTGTAATCATTAAATCCGAGGTATAGCTAGCTGAACTAAGAGACTCTGGCAGTGACAGTGGCATGTGCAAAGATGCATAAAAGAATCTATTCTGTTAATCTGATGCTATTACATGATTTTTTTTTACGACGTCTGTTAATTCAATTGAATCTTTTTTTTTGTGCTCCAAGTTGCAACTTGATGGTGTTCATCAGAAAGTTACATCCTTCGTGAAATAAGATGAGATTCCCCGAATGATTTTTAAAGATAAAAATAATACTAATAATCCTTGCATTTGATCTACTAGCGCCTTCTCGCGTCTTCAGACGGCTCAAAGCACTTCACAGAATAGACTGTGAAGTGAACTGACTGTATATCTGTGGGCGAAACACGACAGCCAATTGCACACAGCAGCGTCCCACAAACAGTCGTGGATTAAAGTGACCAATTTATTATTATTATTATTTGTTTTTGAAGGAATTATTACCCCCGGAAAAGCGATCTGTCAATTGACTAACAACTGGTTCCTACTTACTGCTAGGTAAACCGAGGCATGTGGAATAAGGAAACTTGCCCAAGGTTTTGCTCTGCCGGGAATCGAACCCAGGTCTCTCACTAAAGATGAATTAAATCTGTTATTCTTAGGCATAAGGGAAAGCACATTCTCTCTAAAACTGTTTTTAACAGAGAACCCAATAATGGCAATGTTGTGCAGTGTTTGCTGCATTGTCAGAGGTGCCGTTCCTCGGATGAGATGTTCCTATCTGCCTGTTCAGGTGGACGTTAAGCATCCTATGGCACTATTGGAAAAGAGAAGGAAGTTTCTCCCGGTATCCTGGCCAACAAGCCCCCAATTAAAATGGTTCATTCGTTTCATGGCTGTTTGTGGGACACTGCCTTGCTCAATTTGGTTAGCCAACAAAATACACTTTATAGTACATCCTTGAAGTTCTTTCAGACGTCCTCCCAATGTGAAGGATGCTATATCCCGTGTAAAAATTATTATAAAGGTATTGTATTTCACTTCAGCTCATCTTTGACTCTCCAAATGCTCATTTACCAAAAGCCTATTGCAAAATAGCCTTCTAGGTAAAAAACAGGCAGCATTAAAGACTGGAATGGAGACAACATTAATTTCCCTAATGACATTTTACAGAAAATTAGCCAATATTCCTCTACAGCTAAATTAGTGTTTTCAAACAACTTTGAATTTTCTAAACCAGGTCTCATCCCACCCCTCCAACCTCGATAATTTATACCAAATGCAATTTTAAAAAATATGATTAAGTTATCTGAGAGATCTTCTAACCCTATGGGCCTTTTTAATTACCGATGCCAGACTTAGTTGTGGGTATAAAGAACAACAACGAAAAGGGAGGATCAATGAGTAAGAATTATCTGAGGAATTTATTTTGTAAGTACCTTACTTTTTAATATTCAATTCGGAATACATGTATAATCACATGCTGTGACGTCAGATCATTAGCACCGTCGTTATGACCTTGGGAAAAGAGTGGCTGCGCTATCAAAGGCAGAATATGAGCAGACAGGTTAATGAAATTAAAAGGAATGCTAATGAGTATTATTTGATTTGGGTTGAAGTTTCACAGTCAATTTCTTCTAACTCCCTAGTTTTTTGTTAGTTTTAGCCCCATTCCCAGCCACCTACACCTTCCCCAGCTCTGTGTAAGTAGGCAAACTGTTCTACGTCTCTATCAATAGTGCTCCTCAAGTAGCCTTGAAATAGCGCCACAGGAACTACCAGAAGCTTCAGTTAGCGGCACATCCAAAGAGCGACATTTCAAACGACGCAGCCCTGGCTCAGTGCTACACTACAGCTTAGCTTATATCTCCTGGTGTGGGAGCTAAACAGAATCTGAAACCCAATTTAAGATTACAGCCTGTAAATCATGCCAGCCTATCTATAGTTAAAATAAAATAGGTGCCGAATTATATTTGGTGGATTACTTTTTGTTGACAGTGGCTTCCAGCGCAAACGCCAACATTGTGCTTTGTGCAAATGATGCGTGAAAGTACTGAAGGATTCAACACTGAAGGATTAATAATGCGATTAAAATAACTGCAAGAGCTTCAAGGAACAAACAGTTGATTACTGGTAAATACAAGGAGCAGTGTATATTATGAATGATATGGAAATACAGTACAGAACATAAATAATTTGACCATTGTATAAAACCATAACATGTGAATTCTAAGATTGAATTACAGCCTATTTTCTGAATAGTCGATAATGTCATGAAGTTAATTGAACAATAGTAAAGCCTGTGTAAAATCACTTCCACCTCCAGAAATTGAACATGGATTTCAATGTTAATTCACTATTATGACTGGCTTATCATTGCAGAATAACTGTACCATGTACATAAAAGCAGTTCATTGTACTTCTGAAATTTTTTTACATTACTTTTGTGGGTACATAACTGTCCTTTCCCCCAATTTTATTTATTCCTTCCCGTTTCCCATCTCCGTAGACGGATACGGTAGAAGCAATGGAACAAGATAAGACCAATTGGCTCATAAGGAACAAAACAGCTCACTGACCTTAAATCCTGGGGCACAAACGCATTTCCCAGTGACACTGCCACAATCCGCCCCATTCTGACAGGAACAGATTTGCTGACAGCCCTCTCCATAAAAACCAGGTGAACACGTCTCATTGCAATACAGTCCAGTCCAGCCACTGGCACACGTGCATTCGCCAGACAACGGATGGCAGCTGAAAAGAGACATCAAAATGACGGTGGCGTGTGTTTGTTTGCGGAATTTTCCCCTGCCCTGGGCTCCCACTGCCAGCTCAGGTGCCCATCCAGTTTTGTCAAGCGCTTTGAAACGTCCTTTCGACATGAAACGACAACTTGCAGGGTAGAGTCCCAGAGCGCTTGACAGTGCAGGAGGCTCTACATGAACGTATATTATCTTGGACTGTAACAATGACAATACTGGACTTATTTTTTTCCAATACGGAACTTAGAACAGTCAAAAGGAGAAATCATCAAGTATGTTAACACGCAAGATTATCTAATGCGATTCTCAGTTGACAGGAACTCCAGTGAAGCGACTGGAGTTGCTATCAATTGAGAATCAAATTAGCTGATATCTGAATTTCTCCACCACAACCTCTTTCAGTTCCCATTCAGCATTTCAATTCAAACAAGGGTTTGTCTCTCTTCATCTCTTCCCTACGCAGACATTAGTATAAATTGGTCTGTTTTTCACTCACAGGAATTTCAGTTACTTCGGGTGCGACAGGATTAACTAGTGCTCTGACATTATTGCTTAGGTGTGATGCTGATTTATATTTAGCTTCTAAATTCAAGTTCCGTATCTTCACGATTTACTTGCAAATGTAGTCTCTGGCATAGCTTATGCCATTCTAATTTTGTACCTTGGTCAATTGCTTTTCCCAGTTGTACAGTATTAAGTTTCCGCCTAGCATTAAAAATACATTACATTTCTTCCTCGCCCCCCCAAACACTAAACCTTTATAGATCTTGAGAATGTTGTTAATTTCCTATCTTGCATTTTCTCTGCGTTGTGACTCTCTTTATAGCACTTTAATTTAGCAAGTTGCAGCATTAGTCACATCTGTCAAATAAAACAAAGCCTCTTTCTCACTTTGGATAATTGCCTGTTAATTTTAGGTTAATACTTAGCAATTAGCTCAAAGCCTGATATAAGGAACTTCTAAACGGCTGCAAAGTAAAGTACTTACTGGTGTGAAAAAAGGTAATAAAATTAGGTCTTATATTTGTGAAATTGATTTTCGGGTTCAGGATACTGGAGTGCCAAGTTGTGTTAATAAAGAAATCCATTTTAAAACTATCCTTGTCCATCTAAAAAGGCAGTATATTTTAAGTAGGGTTTGAATTTTCGAATAGTTTACGAGCCTCGAACAATTAATAAAAGTGATGTTATTTTAACGTCGTGATTTGATTCTAAATCTAATCCTTGTGTAATTATTTAAACTGGAATAAGGATGAATCTTTCCCAAAATGTACTTTTGGGGACGGTTGTCAAATAAGCACAGTTCTTGGAAGCATCGTGTATTGCAGTGAGAGAAAGTGCAGGAGACGGCAGCCTCCAACACGCTGATCGTTCAACATCCTGATTGTTATGTTTATCTCAGAGTTTTTAAATTACCTGCTACCTTTTAAGTGTTCGGGTTTATTTTGGGCTAATCTCAGCTGTGGCTGCCACAAAAATATGCCTCGGAATCCAAGGTTAAAGAGGAAAACCAAACATCCAGCTGATAAAGTTCTCTGGCACCCTCCCCTGTGTGTGGGGCGCTATATAAATGCAACTTGTTGTTGTTGTTGATTCTCTTTTTTTTCAAAATTGAGGAAAAATCAGCTAAATTAAGGTCGAATTTAAGAATTTTCCACAATTGTGCAACATAGTCTATTTGAAAACAAACTCGGAGAAGACTAGGTGGAATTTTGAGCTTCTGTTCATGGACTGCGTGATGCTGACACAGACTTACTAAATGTCACTCAGAGGCTTTGACAGTCAATCATTCTGAGATAAAAACAAACCCCTCTCTCTCTTGTTCTAACTGCTGCTGATTCTCATAAGCCATAAATGTAACTTATGGGGTTAGGTTTGAACATGGAAAAGTCAAAGGGGCCCTAAAGATACAACAACTTGCATTTATATACCCCCTTCACGAAGCGTAGCATCTCGGAGAGCTTAGACCTCAGTCTCATGATGTCTGTTTGACTTTTGCTTTCTGTGTTCCAGCCTTATGGCAGAGTTTAATCCAGCAGTACGTGGAGGACGCTGAATGAGGAAGAGCAAAGCTGATGTGGATCCAACAGAATAAAGTTATTGCTGTGAGGTTTTTTTTTAGTAAACTATTGACTGGATAATTGAGGTAGTCAAGAGATATCCTCCTACAGGATTCTCCGATGTTTATCGGGGTGTTTTGGATCAACTTGACAACAACAGCATCTCAAACTATAAACAGTAGTAATTATCGTGCCCGCAGTCTGACAGTTAAGAGTGGCTTTGAGACTCCCTTCTGCAAACCCGTGTGATATACACAGAAAAAAAACAACTTCCACGTGTAATGTGAAAAGTGTACAGATTGACTTTTGACATTTCTACATGAACAGAAACATTCCTCAGAAGAGCTTTTTAAAACCATGCACAAAACTTCAGAAATTAGCCGATCGGAACTTTTCTTACCTTTGCGTATTTTTATCATTGCAAGGACACGGCTTATTGCAATTAGGTCCATATAACCCATCTGGACACATTCTGTTTTGGCAGCGATTTCCTTTAAACCCTGGCTCACAAAGACATGCTCCATTAATGTGGTAGCATTTTGCTCCGTTCAGGCAGTCACATTTTTGGACACATCGCAAACCATAGGTGCCAATTGGACATTCTTCCTGACACCTGTGAGCCCAAACATGCACAAAGTCAAAGTATTAGTAAAGTCCTGCACAAACTCTCACCCTACAAAACACCGCCAGGTGAGTTATTGACAGAAAGAATAATGGATACCTAGCAATTATTAGAAGGCTGCAATTGAATTGATCAGATATGTTTTATTTAGAAAATAGCAGGTATAAGGATTATACCCATCGCTTAAGTATCGAAACCCACTATTTTGGGTTTTAATATCGACATCTATGCGTGTTTACAAGGTTACAGTCTAACCAAAGGGCTTGCATGGTTTGAGCAGACAATAACTTGTGAGCGGTTATGTGGTTTTTGTCTGAGCAAAGTTTGGAGAGATTTATAGGGAATAATGGATGCCTTTGACTAACTGATTGCAGGTAGTAATCCTGTTGAAGGGCTCAGATGGAATCTTAAACCATAAAAGGTTAAATGGTGTCTAAACCAGTCAGATTACAGACTTGCAATCACATTCCCATGTTTGTATTTCTAAAATCAATATTCAATTTTTGAGACTTTCTTTTACCAGCAGTTGGTGTTGGGGCCGATATCAGCAGCAAAGATGCCTTGATGTGGAGTAACAATCACAGCCGAGGACTAACAACTGTGATGTAGTGACTGTAAATGTATTAAGCGATGAGAATCCACAAGTGACGACCGGCATAAAATAAGTCAGTGTATATATGTTTATGCTTTTTTTTGCAAAGGGAGTAAAATCAAAGGTACATTGATATAACCCACGTTGATGATTGCCACTTAAAGCAGTGCACAATATAAATAAGGCAGTTTGGGGAGAAACAGAATGCCATCTTCTCAAAAATAAACACCAAGTTATACAATATCTCACTCTCCTCACAGACATGTAGCCAGTGGCAAAAGCTTCACAGATGCCTGGCATTTCCTACGTCTTCACAGAATACTCTGTCACAATGAATAGAAAAAGTGATAAACAAAATAAACCAGCGAAAGAACAAAGCGGCTGACATGTGAAGAGAAACGCAGCAAGCTGATACGCTTAGGGTGTAAGATTCTCATCTCGTGCCTCCTGCACTGAAATGGCAGCCAGCTGGAAAAGGGAAGCACGGCAGAGCAGGAATATTCCGAACAGTGACTGTACAGATGGACCTTTTATAAGTTGATGTCACCTGGGAAGAAGGTATGGCAGCGAGCCAAAAACTGGGTAGAGTAGAAGAGGCTGCTCCTGCCTGTGTGCCCAGGGGCACAACAGGGAAGAGATTAGCAAGTGCTTGCCCCCGTCTCCCCAGATTACACAATACCAATGTCTTACTATAAGCACCGAAACCAGGCAAAGGCTTCCTAGGAGCTTGCTTTTTGTATTAAGCGCTCTGAGACGCCGTCCGGCGTGGAGGGCGCTGTATAAATCCAAGTTGATGTTGTTGTTGTTGTATTTTCTACGTATTTACAGAACACTCAGACAGTGCTTCCGTCTGACTCTGAGATCTCGAAAGTAACTTGGTAATGGGAGTCCTGAGCCATTTGGTGGTTAGAAATTCGGATGCAATATAAAGAGAGAAGCATCACAGTATTAGGAGGAGAAGAAAAAAGAAAGGACACTTGAGCACGGCAGCTCTGTGACTGCGCAGAAAGGAACGAAACAAGCCACGAGGAATGCTCAGAGTAGAGACCAAACACGCGGACAATATTCGAATACTGTTAAGAGAATTTTCTTTTTAAACGTATGAGAATTATCCGGCCACTTCTCTTCACTGAGAAGCGAAGAAAATCAAACCCTGGTTTTACACAGCGGGCAAAGAAGAGGACATTCAAGAGACAGGTTCAAGACTTGTCGGATACGGAAAATATAGCATAGTGTTGGTGGGCAATATGGAATGATGCGATGGGATATAAAACACATGGTCCTGTGAAGATCAGCTGTTGTTTCCCAATTTTAATGTGCTCGTGAAATTAATAAAATCAAAAGTAAGCATTTTCATTTCTCCCTCACAGTTCCAACACAATGCTAATCAAAAGTGAGCACAGCATCAGAAATAAAAATACTGGACACAAAAGCAACAGAAGAAATTATCTGAAACACTTTCCAATTCGTCCTTCCTCCTTCGCAGTTAAATGCACAATGTCTATTTATGTAACCAGGGATCACAGATTTTCCCAGTCACTCTTTAATTTAAAACATCAGTCACAGAAGGACTTTGAGCTACAGAGTTAAATATCTTTTTCTACACAAATCTGAAATCTACCGTGACTGAAAATCTGGCATAAACTATGTATATTTCTAGTAAATTATAAACATATGGTTACATGCAGCTTCTATTCTTGCTCAGATTGTATTTTGTTGTGGCCTTTTATCTGCCAGTAGGGAAAGGTAGCAAAGTAAGTAATTATTTTTCTTCCTACGTTAATTCTGTTGGCACTTGCAAAATTAATGAGGGTAATTTATAGGAATATTAAAAACAGCTGGTATGTATTACTGTAAAACAGGTTAAATAAATTATTGCACATATTGGTTCTGGAGTAATGACCGTCAGATTAACTGATGTTTTTTTTCTTCTTACATTCTTGTAGCAAACATTGCACAACCTCTTTAAACTTTACAATCCCTGGACAATCTTTCCTAGTTTGTAATTATGTTCTTGATCTCATAGCTTCGATAGTTCATCTGCTCTATGTAAATAAAGTGGGAATAGAATGGTTGCATTAAAACCCCTACAAGTGAGATTCCAAAACCTGTGTCAAGTAAAATTAAATTTGAACAACTGGCTACGTTATTCAGCTACAGGAATTGAGGCTAGATCCTGACATGTCTGAGCTCCCTACAATTAACATCCACCTCCTGCTTCCCCTGGGATTTGTGATGGATGAGGCCATATTGCCCCCGAATAACATTGTCTTTATATTGCTGGGAGTATAGTGCTGTACATTTATTCCACAGTAGAGCAAGCACCGGATTCCGATGTATTTACTTTAAAATAGGACCAAAAACTGCCAGAACTCCGAATTCTTTTTTTTTTTAATGTTATTGGAGAGCTGATGTTCCAGTTGTCTTTTTAACAGCATTTAATTCAAATCAAAGTTCTCAAGCCATTCATTGGACGACAGAGCAAATCCGTGTAAAGTTCTTGAAATGTGCTATATTTTATCCGAAGTGTTGTTGTTTGTATTCATTTTATTGAGCCGCGTGGGCAATCACAAGATCACAAAAGAGGTTGAATGAAGAAGGCCCTTTGGATCATTTGATCAGAATACTGACCCTACTTCCTATTACAGCATCACATTGTTTCTGATATTACAGAAATAACGTGTTTTGCAGAATTGCGGTGCACAAGCTGAAAACATGTAGAACCAGAGTCTCCGTAGACCTGGCTGCCGTTTTAAATTAAATAAACTGGTTCACACACTTTTAATTTGATCACAGCAATCTAACTCTGGCGCAGAAGAACTAAAGCGGGTTAAAACATAATTGGAAGAAACCCATAGAAGTCCCACAAAATGCGATGGTACATCAGCGGCACGTGAAGCAGACCAGAAGCATGCCCAGAGGACAGCAGAACATGGCATGACTATATGTTTCATGCTGTTGCCATTTGGTGGCTTTAGGTCCGCACCTGTTTTAATCATCAGTGGATGACCATTCCTGCAGAGCAGAACTGCCCACTGTTCCGTGAATCAGCTGCTGATACCCTGTGCCCTATAGCTTCCGGGATAGGAAATAACCCAATTATTCTCAGTATAAAACAAGGTTGAATCGGTTGCAATTAAGTTTTTTTTCCTAGGTTGCAATATTAAAGACACCCTAAAGTCTGGATCACCTTCTGATCTTTTGATTGACTACCCGTGTTTTTGAAAGTTCAGACAATTTGAAGGTAGAACGACTATACACACACACACACACACACAGCGGAAGAGATTGCAATCGCGGGTGAAAGTATAAAGAATTTGATGATGGCATTATATGTCAAGATATATATGTCCACCTTACTCAGCGCAAAATATTATCCGGAAGCCATTTCATTCTTTTTGCATTAACTGGGGGCGTGACTGCACAGAAACCGGAGTCCTGTAGCTCAGTGGTTAGAGCACTCGCTTTGCAAGCGAGAGACCTGAGTTCAATTCCAGGCAGAGGGCGAAACCTTGGGCAAGTTTCCTTACCCCACACAGAGCCTAATAATAATCCCTCCAAAACCCAAAACAATAATAAATTGGTCATTTTCAATCTACGACTGTTTGTGGGACATTGCTGTGCGCAATTGGCTGCCGCGTTCGCCCACAAAAAAATACAGTCAATTCATTTTACAGTGTGTTCTGTGAAGCGCTTTGGGAGGACTCCCGACGTGAAAAGCGCTATATCAAATGCAAGGATTATTATTATTATTTAAACCGGCCAAGTTCTGTACCTCACCCAACTGTTCATTATCTTCCTCTCTCACAGTTTTTGGTTCGATTTGTAACATCCCTAGCAGATATTAAAGACTTCTTAGTCTTTAAGTCTCAGCTTCTCACTGAACAAAGTGGGATCTATTTATAACACTTGGAACACATTTTTAACCGAAGAAAGTACATTTTGAGAACCATTTTTATTGCCAAGCAAGCTCAGTTCAAGCTGGTTTGTAATGCATTATACCATGGTGGACGCATCAGTTTATCTCTAATGCATTTTTACAAAGAAACAGTGTTATGTTAGGATTGTTCCTACCTGTCACCTGTATATCCAGCTGTACAATGGCATACACCGGTAACGTGATCACACTGTCCTCCATTATGGCACGGGCAGTTTTTGGTACAGTTAATACCAAATTTTCCAAGAGGGCATGGCTGTGCGCACACTGATCCCTGAGACAATGGTGAAGAAAAACAGCTATGGTTATTCCTAACAGAATTTTCAACTGCTTATTGTTGAAAATTACCAATTAATGGCCTGGCATTGATGTACAATTTTGATTAAGTGTACTCGTATAATAAATAGTACCCATGAACGGAATATGCAAAATTATTCATCAAAATAGAGATGTCATTGTGTATGCTGTGCACAGGCAGTGTCTCTAATATCACTTTCTCACACAACGCTACACAGGGTATGACTTTAGCGACCCTGACCCTATCCGTATCTACACAGAAATTAGGAATCTCTAGTGAAATTCCAATCAGTCAGTCAGTCAATCATTCAATCAATCCCCGCGGCTAATACGGTTGAACTCAAAAACCAGAAGATGACAAGCAATTCAGTTTTGTGTGATGACAATCAAATGCTTCACAGATAATTTTTACCGAGTCTCTCTCAATCTCAAATTGGCGATCAATCAAGCCAGCTCTCGGGTAGAATTATATTTTATGTTATGGAACATGAAAAAGAGGATAATCAGAGAATACTTCACAACGGAATAGGATTTCAAATTTGGTCTGATGTGAATGAGGGGAGATTTGTTCCTCAGCCGGTCAGAAGGATGAAGTGGGGAAAAGTTCCCTCAACACAACTTATAGGGAGACTTATCAAGAGAGCTTTAAGCTTTATCATGTTATACTTTTATATACAAACACACCCCAAGCCAAGGAGTCCTGGGTGAAACCAGCTTCAGATTTGCCCAAAAGATAAATTCCAGCTGGGTTACGTGGGCCTTGAACTCATTTAATTGCTTGAGGCAGTAATCACAGGTAACATTTCCAAGAGGAAAATTATCACTTGTACTCCTGAAGCGAGAATCCAGGACGTCAATCATTACAATCTACACAACATAACCTGACTGATGGCTGACAATTACTCAGACGGTAAAACGGACAAAATCAGAAATGGTTTTGCACGTACCATCCACCCTGCTGGACAAGAGCATTCTCCCGAGATGTGGTGGCAAATGCCCCTGTTTTGGCACGGGCACCTTAGCTCACACTGGGCTCCATGACTGCCGGCCGGACAGAGTTCTTCACAGCTGCAGGTCAGGAACAGAAAGCATCTTTGACGGTGTTGAACCCACAACAATATTCAATGATTTCAATGATACCCAAACCCGGTAACAGTCTGGCTCAGCTGACGACACTCCCACCTCTGAGTGAGAAGGTTGTGGGTTCAAGCTCCAACTCGGGGTTTTGAACTCACGTTGTCCAGGCTGATACTCCGATGCAGTGCTGGAGAGGAGCAGAGCATTGTTGGAGATGCTGTCCTTCAGATGAGACGGCATGATTTTAAAAGAGAAGGGAGTTTCTCCCAATGTTTTAGCCAACAATTACCCAGATAAAATTGGTCATTCACTTTATTTTGTGATGTGTTTGTAAATTCCATTGATCAAGTCGTTTCCGAGTTGGGAGGTCTATAGAACATTTGGAAAGTATCCAGTGAAATATCTGCAGCGATAGTCTCAAGAGGAAAATCACCCCAGTTACAAAGGGCAACTGAGTGGAACCAAAGGGATATCAATTTAATGTTACAATCTATTTTCTTCAACCTTGATCAGCAGAATATTCCAACTATATTTCTGGGATCCCAACAGGGCAAGAATCATAGTGTTCAGTCAGGTATTTAATCAGTTTATACAACTGCTTTAACACTTGTTTACTGTTTACAGACTCAATATCAAAGGTGGTTCAGTGGACTAAAACCAATATATTTAGCAATGGATCAGTGACAAAGTGTAACTTACATAATCGCAACTTACATTCCCAGACTTGCACTCCCACATGCATGAAGGTTTTTTTTATGAAGGATTGCTTTTGAAAACTGCCTCCAGATACTTATGTGTATATATATATATATACACACATACACACATAAGGTACAGGAGAGGGTAAATAGAAAAAATAAATATTTTTTAAAAGTGTCTTAAAGATGTGACTTGAGGGACAAATGGAAAAATAGCATGTAATTCAATATTGTAATGGAATAATTACGAATATGTAGAACACCATTCCAAACTATTCCTTGGTCAATTACACATTAAAAATGACTTGGACTCACAAGGCACCGGTGTAACCCGGGGAACAGTGGCACTCTCCTGTCTCGTGGTCACAGATGGCCTCATTTTGGCACTGACAGACATATTGGCACATTTTGCCGTAAGACCCGTGATCACAGGGCTCTTCACACCGCCAACCCTTATATCCATCGGCACACACACAGGCCCCGGTGATAGGGTTACACAGAGCTCCGTTTTGACACTGGCATCGGTTGCTGCAATGTGGGCCCCAGTGATCACTGTCGCAGCCTGTGTGAAGAAAAGAGACACTGCAATAGAAATGGGTTTATTATCAGCAATAACCTATGGGGCAACAGAGTGTTAGAAACTCCGAGACGCTGCACCCTGGATTGGCAAGATGCTGGGTTTTGCCTTCGTCGGCCTCTCAAGAGGAATCGCTAAGAAGAGGTCCTTTCTCAACATTCAGCAAAGGAAAAATCAGACAAAAGGAAAGTCAAAGAACAATACTCTCCAACATCTCTAAGCTGACCTGGGAGTCCTGGATGCTGACACAAGTTGGAAGAAAGAGTTAAATCGCCGTTATCATTGAAAAAAAATTTAAATTCCACAATTTGGTTTAGCATCATTGCGTTCTTCCAGTGACGGTTCTTAAGAAATCTGTGGCATTGTTAAATATTTAAATACTTTGCACTGCACAATGGTTTCAGAGACTATGGTCAGCACAAAGAAAATTGGCATGAGTTAGCCATTTCTATAATATTGGCACAATGGGGAATTTATTCCCATAGCTGCATGTGTGAAAAGCTGCATTAGGGATTAGAAGGTTATTAACATAATAAATTCTTACTCGCAGAATAAAAAAATAGGCGAGCGAGCAAAGAATTGAAAACGCCTCACATTTTAATTTTGTGATATTTCAGTGTTCTGTTTGTTCAAAAAAGAAAAAAAAAACTGTCCTAGCGCAAATCCATGATAAGATTTATCTACGCAGGTTCAATTTACGAAGCAAGTGGCTTCTTTCACAAGATGGATTAATCCATCGCAAACCCCAGACGCTCCAAGGCCTATGTACACCTGGGAGTTACAAGATCACACGATTGGTCTGGATGAAGATGGCCGTTTGGCCCGTTTGATCTCATCCCTCCAGAACATCCGCCCTACTGTTCCCCCTCCCAGGGTGACTGGCATCGGTGGAACATGGTCCATCGGTATAAGAAAAAAGAGGTAACGTGCCTTCACAACAGAAGAGGAAAAGGAGAAAACATTATTATAAATCATCATTACCTCCCACAAAAAAAAAATATTTCTTTTTGAGATTCCTGGTCCTCATCAAACCAAACTATTTTGGAAAATGAAACCTTCCGTTGGCAGTTTCCTGAGTTTAGAGTTAAGCCACATTGAGGAGGTTCTGTAAAGAGAGCTTTATCTTTCACTTAAGCTGTTATATAACGGACCTGAGAGTGTGTGACATCATCACGTGTCAAAAGTGGAAAAATCTTTTCGTTTCTCTGAACAGTAAACTGTTTCTTTAATCATTGCCAATTAGGGATAGGGTTATGAGGAAATCTAACTGTTTGATTAAAAAAAAAGCCCATTCTGAATATCCGAATGGTTTTCAAGGGAGTAAAGGAGACTAAGTGAGAAAGTTTGACCCTTTCTGTCTTTGACATTAGTGCAGATTGATTTAAGTTTGTACCTCATCGTTCTCTGAAGATTGCTATGAGGTCGCTAACAGCATAATATTTATAACAAAGCTATGTAGCAGACATGTAGGAGGAGAAAATCAGACAATGATATCGATAATTCTTACCACGCTACAAAATAAATAAAACAAATTCACAATGCCTCCCACTCACAAAAGACAGTTATTGGTTCTGGCATACCTTTTGTGTTTGTAAGCGTAAGGAAGACAGATTGCACAGATAAGCACGAGATTGTGATTTGGTAGCTTGCGGCTAGCGGGGTATTTATAATCAGAATTATTTTGGCTTGCTCCTAAAGCATTTCGGTTTTAATCTGTGGGCTAACATACGTGAATTCATAAATTGACGTATTTTAAACATTAACAGCAATCCATACTTTTTTGCCAAATATTTTTTAAAATTGCAGAAAGGAATCACTTTGGTATAGCTCCAGTACAACAACAACAACAACAAGATTTCATTTATAGAGCGCCTTTCACGTCGGGAGGACGTCCCAAGGCGCCGGACAGTTGGGGTCAGTACAATATAAGGTCATTTCTTTCTCAGATACATCCACTTTTGTGTGTGTGAATAAGGAAGAGAGGAAACTATCTTGTCTGCTCTCACTGTCTTAAAATTTAGGAGCTCCAACATGTTGCACCACCTTGTCTGACCTTTTTCCAAACGGTCTTTGGAGAAAGCACACTAATCCCATCAATGTGATGATCATCAAGCCATTGATTGCACCCCTTTCTAAAAATGTTAAGTCAAACTCAACTGAAACAGAAATAAAAAAAATTTAAGCCAAACGTTTCATGATACAACACGTTTTTTGCACCAGAATCATTTGTGACTGAGCCAGATGGACTGTTTTTGAAGCTAACCCTTCTAGGACAAAGTCACTTCCAATATTAGTCAAATGGCTATTGTTTATACCTCTTGCACCCCTTTTATGTACTTTTAAAAACCGTTAGAAGCCTTCAATAATTATTAGGGAATAATTTTCCTTGATTTTCTTATTATATATATATAATTCTTGCATTTGATATAGCGCCTTATCTTGTTGAGACATCTCAAAATCGCTGCAAAGAATATACTGTCAAGTGAATTGACTGTATATTTTATGGGCAAAACAGTGTTCACCTGCAAAACTATGATTATTATGTGAGATGTCCTGCTGGCTTGGAAAAGCACTCCATCGAGTAATGATAATCCGTGCATTTGATATAGTGCAGAACCTTGCAGCTGATTTCTGTTTTGTAACACCTACTGTCATTTTTTTTACCTAATTATATACGAGCAATCAATTTTTAATTTGTTACAGCACTGTGGCAGCACATCTGTAGCAGGTTAAATGGATAAATACAGTATATAGCTGTGCGCTGACCAATATATTGATCTGGAATGATTTCAGAATGGGAATTCATCATGTTAAAATAGACAGTTCAATTTCATCACTTTGAGAAGAAAAAGATATAATTAAACGAGACATGGTACAAGTTAAGTCATTTTATTTCTCTACACAACCGACTGAAGAGATTTTTAAGATTGAAAAATCAGTTGAAGATCATTAAAACTTTAATATGATGAATTGCAGCACTTGTTGATATTGATAACTAGCAGCAAGGCATGACAAGAGAGTTATGTGAGTCATCTGTCACAGAAACAGTTACGAATTCAACATTAATCAAAATGTAGCATTCGTGTGCTCACAAATCTCTGAAAATATGAAAGTTAAGGGCTAATAATGTAATATTGCTTATTCAGTTAAGCCTTAAACTTAAATCTTACCTTCATTATATTGTTCTTAAATTTGTCCTTGGGGAGTGAGTCAATGTGCTGGCAATATTTGCCAGACAACGTCCTTTGTCATTCCATTAACTAATGTCACAAGCTAAGAGATAAGCCGCAGGTAGCAATGGGCTGATGTCACACCGAACATTAGTGGTTTTCATCGTTTTATCCTATTTTTTCTGGTTTCATTCAAATTTATTTCAGAGGCACAGAATGATAGAAAGTGACATCACAGAGGAAGAGCATCATGTCTTTGCCGCCTCCGAAAAAGCAATCCATTCAGTCCTACTTACCTGTCTTTTCTCCATTATTATCAAATGATTCCTTTTTAGATATTTATCCAGTTCCAACTTGACAGCCTCGCCCGCTGCACCTAGCTTGGCATTCCATATTCTGACGTCAACAACAACTGGCATTTTTATAGGCTCCTCGCTTAAGTATCACCTCTTTGGTTTTATATTCCGTGCCCCAAGGTGGGTCACAATAACAGTCAATCCATTTTACAGTATATCCTGTGAAGTGCTTTTCAGACATCCTCCCAAAATAACAAGAAAGGCGCTATATCAAATGTAAGGATTATTATTATTAAACCACAGGTAGTCTCTACTTTCTTCTGACTCTAATATGATTAGTTATTCCATGTTGATGTTGATGATAGTGGCAAGACAGGTTAGCTGTCAATCTTTGGAGGTGCCTGTGATACATCAATTCCACCAAGTACTGTAGCTATAGTGGTTAGCAGACTCCCTTTCCACTCAATGGACCCAGATTTTCAGCTGGCCCAGACTGGTGGGATGAGCATTTCTTCTTTCTCCCAGTTGTAAGATTCCTAAGGGAATACGATTGGGTTAGTCTAATCCCAGATCCCAGTGTAATCGATAAAACAAAATCCCAAAGCTCAGCACTAACTAAAATCTCCCCCAGGGGGAAGGTACAAGGATAGATGGCGTGAGAAATGGAAACGCACTGGTCCAATAGGGGCTGCTCCAAGCATGGGAGATAGAAACATATCTAACCCATGCTGTTTGCTGATACTGAGTGCAAAATAATGGAGAAATATTTCATTCCTTGGCACCACCATCATTCAGCTTAATAAGCATAAATGCAACCACCAAAAAGTATTTTTGGTCAACCTATATGTGAGTAACATACTAAACGTTTTAGTTTTAGCGAGAGATTAACTTATGAGGTCATTGATGTCCTGCAATATGTACATGAATGGACCTGACTGCATAATTCACTGAAAACATGAGGGCATAAAGGTGGATTCAGATTTTTTTCTACAAATATGCAGCTGAATCATGGTAAAATATGAAACTAATTTTCTCAAGAATTGTTCACACTGAACTTCAGGATATTTCTATAAACTGTAGATTAAACAAGTAGTTCCAAACCTTTCTATTACAGCTCATTGAATCATTCATTTGACTGTTCAACTCAAACAAATATAGAAAAACACTCAACAGAAACATGCTTTCCAGAGATGTGATTAGAATTCCAGGGGAAACTGACTATATTCTCAGCTGAGCACTAAAACCAAAGCAAATATTATTCTTTCATCAATTTTATATTTGAAGTTTGTGTTTGAATTAATAATTCTTTATAATAGTTGCGAATGAGAAGTTCTCTTAGATCATAAGGATTCGTGGCTGGTGTATACATTGAGCTGGAATCAACTGCAACCAATGGCCCGTTATTGATATAATGCAGATTGAGAGGACGATCGTTGAATTTTAAGAAATGTTGATTGGAAATATATTGTAATTCCTTTGTGGTTTCTGCAGAAGCAAAACGTTTGACCTTAGCTTCCCG